AAAAATCGAGACCCTGAAGCGAGTCCTGACGATGAACCTTGAAAAGGCCATTGGGATGACGGAAGAGATGATTCCCCACCTGGAGGCCGACAAGAAGAGGTTGACAGCTCTCGGCCAGCTGAACTCCGGCGAGAAGGTATGCCTCCATTCACAAAATGGCCAAGAAACGGACCTCCTCATGCTTTCCTTTGCCATTTCAGAATGTAGCCACGCTTCTGGTGGCCCACCCGGAGCTCTGGGATGGTCTGGTCCCGCGTCTGCGGGATCTGAAGAGGGCGTGTCTCTCGTACAACAAACTCGCTGCGGATAGGCTCTTCTGAAAGTTGATATGTATATTTTTGAAGCACCTTTGTACTCCCCCGAGCATTATTTGCGATTAAAAACTAACAAAGATGGCAAGTGTTTTTTTTGGAAACGGAGACAACTCCGACCTGGATATTACCCATCAGGGCAGGTACTCCTCGCGCCAACCAAATCCCAGTAAGAAGTCGGTTCGGAAATGCTTCACAAATACTTGGAAAATGCCCACAAATTTATTTCTGTTTCGTTTGATTTCTTAATTTTGTTTTTTTTTCTTGATTTGTTACTCGCGCCTCCAGGACTCTTTCGCCTCCAGGACTCGGATGGATGGCCAGGACGCCGGGACGCTTGGATGCCAGGGCCAGGGCCAGGATATATGTATGCATGAATGTATGAATGATATATGTTATGAAGGTAGCCCAGAGCCGGAGCGTGGAAGCGAGAAGAGGTGGATGGGGGGAGTACATACATACATAAGCGGGACGGCGAGATGACTCTTTTCCGCTTTTCTTCTTCTTCTTTGACTTAATTTTTTTTTTGTTTGTTTTTATTTTTAAATTTTTAGTTTTTTGTTTTTGTTTTGGTTTTGGTTTTGGTTTTCGCGGGGCAGGGATGGGTGGGGGCGTGGCTGCTTGGCATGGGCGTGGCATAAAATTTGCTTTTAAAAATATCATTACACATCACGTCAATTACAATTTTTTTTTTTGTTTGTTTTCTTTTGCTGTTTTTTTTAGACATATTTTTTTTTTGTTTGTTTTTCTTTTTTTTGTTTTTAGCGTATATAAATAAATGCATACACATATATACGGTAATATATAGACGGTATATATATGTACGTGTACAAATAATGCAATAGACACACATCTATACAAATTATACTATATAATGGTTAAGTTTTTTCGTTTTTTTTATTTTTAATTTATTTTATTTTATTTTTGTTTTTGTTTATTTTTGCTCTGTTTCTTTTTTTTAATATTTTTTTGGCAACAGATTATTATTCCATTAAGTTTGAGGTCCGTTTTCAGACACAAGATACACAATTAATTAAGTTACCATTTATATACGTAAAAAATTAATGCTCAATTACAAGAAATAACACTTAGGCGTACAATATTTGTATTGCATTTGTTTTTTTTTTCTTATTAGTTTTTCCATTCTTTTTCTTTATTCGTATATTTTTTTTCTGCCCATTTTATTGATTTTTTAATGAATTTTTTCTTTTAGTTTTAATTTAAATTTTATAATATACGAGATGTTGCACAAATAAAATTTGTCTACATGATGCTGGGTGAGAGGGGATGGGGGGGTTGGGCGGTAGATCCAATAGATCCGTATCCAATAAGTAGGCAATGAAATATTTGACGCTCTCCCAAAGAGAGAGAGAGAGAGAGTGGGGGAGAGAGAGATCCTTGGCAAAATTTTTCATAGCATACTTTTTGGAAGCGTTCATCCGAGTCTTTTCAAATCACCACCAATAGATTTTTATTTATTTATTTTTTCTGTTTCCTGTTTTTTATTTTGGATATTTTTATTTATTTTTTGTTTAACTCAGCGCGAGATAGAGAGTATTACATTTAGGATGGGTTCTTATATAATCCCGGCTAATGCCAATATCATTTAGTAGACAATCAGTGGGTTATTTTGTGTGTGTTTTTGTTTTTGTTTTTGTTTTGGAGATCGCATTACCCTCGCATCGATTATAGTTTTTTATTCTTGTTTGGATTTGGAGATTTGGATTTGGAGATTTCGATTTCGTGTTTCTTTCATAGTAATTATCATTATATTTTATTGTATGTGTATCAGAGAACGGCACGGGTGACACTTTTCGACACCCTATGCATACCCATAAAAATTTGTGTGCGAGTACCACTCGCCACACAAAACAAAAAAGGCAATAACGACACACACAATTTTTGGATGAGTACAAAGTGTCTATTGCCTTTCTTGCACTCATGATTTTGTGCCTATGTGTCTTGTTGTTCGGATCATACCAGCCACCCTAAAAAAAAGTGGAAAGAGAAAAATGGTAAAAAAAATGATCGTTGAAGATTTTGTCCTTTTCCTTTCTGTCCTTTTCTAACTACCTAAGCGTCTAGACTTCGTGCACGGGTACCTAGGACATACAAAAGTAAAAACAACAAAGCCCTTTCCTACGATCGTTTTATGATCTTTTTTTGTGCCTTTCTTCCACCCATCCGTTTTTTATTTGTGCCTGCGATCCACCCACAAGAAACTGGTAAAAAAAAGGCAAGCACCCGAAATCATGGGTGTTTCCAGACACCCGAAGTTTCGTGCATGGTAAATACTCATGCACAAAACTTCGTGCATGAAAGACACTCGGGTGCCTAAAATACCCGGTGTTTTTCGTGCCACTCATTGTGCGAGTGGCAAGTTGCCGTTCTCTGATATACATATACAGACAGGCGTTGAAGAAGAACCTGTAAGTCAACTCGAAGCTCAAGTTCGACGAAGAAGGCGTATCGGTGGCCGATGAACGCAGCCAAATGAAGGCACTTGCCAGGAAGCAGAGGAATGATGACGATAACGATCATGATGATGATGATGATGATGATGATGATGATGATGGTGGCATTGATTTGGTAAGGTCCAAGGCATTGCTCACCGAAGAGGATCAGTATGACAAGCAGCGGTTCCGGGAGCTGGTCAAGAAACGTCACAAGTTGCAGCGCGAAAAGTTGCGCAAAAAAGCGGAAGCAGCCAAGGGCAGCAGCGACGAAGAGGAGGACGATGAGGCGGAAGATCACGAGCACCATATGGATGCGGCCAGTGACAGTGAGGGCTCGGTGGATCTCTCCTGGCTACCCGATCCCGATAAGATTTACAAAAAGAAATCCCAAGAGAATGGTGATGCGCCGGATGGTTCTGCATCGGAATCGGATGCTGGAGAAGATGAGGGTGCTAGTGGCAATGACGAGGATGACACCGATGACGACTCGGACGAGGAGCCCGCCTACAAAAAGTCCAAGCTAACCAACAAGCTGACCCTGCTCGACACGGAGGCCATTGCACAGTGGTCCGGCTTGTATGAAGAGAGCGGCCAAAAATACTTCTAGTTGAGGTAGGGACTGGAAACTTGGCACAAAATATTTATATTTTTATTCTAAAATAATATATTAAAATCAGCCAGATCGGGCAACTATATCATATAGCTGCCATATAACTGATTGATCGAAAATGCTATAACTTGGGTGTTTTTACAGTTAGAGAGTTCAATTTTTGTAAGAATGCTATATTTGACAAAATAACACGACCTACCAAATTTCATAAGGATCAGCCGACTATATCTTATAGCTGCCATATAACTGATTGATCGGAAATGATATAACTTCGGTGTTTTTAAAGCTAGAGAATTCTGATTTGGTACGAATGCTATTTTTGGGAAAATAATTCAACATGCCAAATTTCATAAGGATCAGCCGACTATATCCTATAGCTGCCATATAACTGAAAAAACGGAAATTACCCAACTTTCATGTTAAGATGGTGTTAGTATTTTTACGATATTAGACACATAGGCAAATTTTGGCAAAAATTTTTTCACATTTGTTACCCTTGGAGACCGACAAACACATTGGTATATAAACGAATTGTAGAATTTTGTGGGATCACTACTAAAACTTCAGCTAAACATGAAAAATACGTTCAAAATATAGGAAAAAAACATGCATTAGTTCATAGTAATATAATAATAACAATAATTATTATTAATATATCAAATTGTATCTCATTTTATAGAAAATACCTTCAACTTCAAAATCCATTACAAATAATTTGAATTTGAACACGTAAATAATGATCTGACCACTTCAAAGTGCGGTATAGTTGTGAAATATTCGTGATGCGCGCAGCCGCGCTTTACAAATGAGCATCTTCAAATCATTTTTTAGAAAATCCAGTTCGATTTTTAGAAAAATCTGGTTTGTCATGAAGAAGCTTGGACATTTTAGAGGCGATTTGTTTACTTTTCGATTATTTTTGTCGTTATTAATTTTTTTATTTTTGGCCTATGGGAGCAACCACTGTGCATTGCGGCCTCTCTTTTGGGTAGCTAGGTTCTACTTTTCCAGACGGGACTCGACTGTTTCAATAAATTAATGCCAATTTTTTGTTTTCTTTTAAAAATAAGTCACCTTCTTTGAAAGCTATATGTTTGGGCGGAACTGCCCAATCCTGGGATCTAATCTTAAACCTAAACTAACTAAATACCAACTATAGTTTAATTTTATTCATGAATAATGCTCGGGGGAGTACAGGAGTGCTTCAAAAATATATCAACTTTCAGAAGAGCCGACTGCGGCTACTGCGCCATTCCTACTCGCGGTATGGCCTTGTGGTGGTAGTAGTCGTCTTAGTGGTGGAAGTGAGCGCCGGTCGAGGTGCTTGTGCGAGATTCCAGAAGAGTACTTCGAGTGCCTCAACAGGCAGTGTCTTTGTCTCCACAAAGCCTCTTATCGGGCGGAGGGCACCTACATTATGTATTCAATATGTACATGCGCTGGAGGGAGAACCGAATCCGGGGCTTCCCCCGGAATTCTGGCCCCATTTCCGCCGTCTACGTTTCTCTGGGAGACCGGCACCGGCACACAGTCACACCGAAGAGAGTCTCTCACGCACACCAGTGCGGGGGAACTGGTGGGAGCCTGGAACTCATTTCACAATCTTTGGTAACTCAGTCTGATTGCGGATCCATAAGAGGTGGTGCCGTTCTATTACGTACTTACGTCCGAAGGGAGCTGATGTCATGGGTAGTTTCCACAAGGCGGAATACAAAGACCTGGAGGAGGGACTGCTGAGTATTGCGAAAGTTGTGGTGAGGTACCAGAGCGACTTGGACAGGCGGGTGCGGTTCGAGAAACTGCAGGAAGCCATCGACGAAGTGCACGAACATGTTGGACCGAACTATGAGGGTAGCGCCAGAAAGAAGATGGATAAGTTGGATGTTTTGAGTCGAACAGCCTTGAGCAACTACCAGGAAGGGATTGGCCTGGTGTTCGTGTGGTGTTTCATGGCCAGGAAGAAGTTCCAGATTGTCCTTAATCACATCAGCGGGAACCCCACCAAGGAGGACATGGACATCGCATGGATTGTGACTGTGAACGCGCTGCAGGACGGCCTGAAGAGAACTCTCAAGTCGCTGGAACTATTGAGGGATTCTCATTTGAAGGTTTGTCAGGCGAAGGATCTGTTGGATTCCATTCTGCACGACCTATACGACGATTTTGGTCCCAACGGGGTCTACGGAAAAAGGAAGAAGGCTCTGCAGGCCTCGAAAGAGCAAGAAGAATCGCACAATACTGCGCTCACGGCCACATTAATTACAGTAGCAATTATACCCTTTGTGGGATTGTTGTCTTTGACGGGAATAGGGGCTTTGCGCGAAAGTGGCGACCGGATAATCCACTACGTAAGAAAGCTGATTGCCATTGACACCCTCTTCCAGAGGGCGCAGGAGGCAGTGGAAAACGGCAGCCGGGTTGTGAAGAACGGGCTGGACCTACAGCTGGACGAGGAAATAAAACACCTAAGGGTTCTTAGGGGAACTATTGATTCGGCACACCAGGTGGGTATTGCCTATCGAAACCTATAGAAACTTGCTAATCCTACCGATTTTCAGAACGGAGCCCTGCTCAAATCCGAAAGCCCCCTCATCCGAGCCCTATTCGTTCCAGTTCTCGAGAATCTGAGGGGGCAGTGCCACAACTACACCAAGTGGCACGGATCGATGGAATAAATCGAATATATTTCTCAAAGAAATGTGCATATATTAATCCCAAATAAAGGAAACTAAATACTTAGTTGGCTGTCGTTTACTTTATTGCTTTGAACATTACGTATACGCACCGTGGGCCAGTCCAGCCAGGCCTCGGGGCCACAGAAGGGCTGCGGTAACAGGTTTTTATTGGTTATGGATCAGAAGATGATTAGTTTCCAGCTGCAGCATACCGTACCGGATCATATCCGTGCCATTTGGCATATTCTTGGCACAGTTTTTGTAGGCCCTCCAGATTCTCAGCAAACTTGTTCCGGGAGAACGAGTCCTCCAGCAGTAACATATATTTACACTGTAAATCGAATGCATATATATAATATATATAATAATAATATATATAATATATGCCATATCTATTACTTACATCGCTTGTACTCTCACAGTTCCCTATGAGTTCGATAACATTTTTCTTATCTTCCTCCAGGGCCTTTATAACATCGCCTATCACCTTTTGGGCTCTCCCAAGTTTTTCGGTGATGAGCTGGAAGAAACACTCGATGCCCTCCAATTGTTTCTTAGGGTCCTTCTGCTCCTGCCATTCAACGAGCGACTTCACTCCGAAGGACACCGCTATTCCAGCCGCCAGGCCAATACCCGCTCCAATGGGTCCGAATATAAGACCACCGATGAGCCCGAAGATGCCAGTAATGGCGCCAAAAATGACGGCAGTTCGCAGTTTGTGGCTTTCGTTGATCTTATTCATCAGCTCTTGCTTCTTTTTTCCATAAAATCCATTTTCTCCGAAATCAGAGTGGACGTCGTGCTCAATGGACTTGAATAGATCTCTCAGCTCGGTCACTTTCACCAGAACCTCTTTCTGGAGGAGCTCGAGAGACTCTTTTATTTTCGGAAGACCACTACTGAGCGACTCGGAGACGATATCAAAAATGATTTTTCTGTCGGACGCGGCCAGACCCTCTCTCCGAATGACGGGAAGGAGGGTCCTGTAAGTCTCCGAGGCTGAGACACTCCACTCAAAGATCAGGTCAACACACCTTTTGTACGTGAGCCGGGCCGTCGAGTTCAAGTCCCGCACCTTGTCCAGCCTTTCTTTCGCCTCACCCTCGTACCCCAGCATGGCCTTATCAATAGCATCGATGGCATGCTGCAGCCCCCGAAAGTTGACCTTCTTATCGAACTCCTCTCGGTATTTTACGATAAACTTTCGGAGCAACGAGACCTTTCTGTCCAAAGGATTGTCACTTAGTTTGCACATGACTCCTCGTATTTGTTTCCCTTTTTTTGAAATTTAAGACAACTGGTTACTGCTTTCGGTATTCCTGCTGGCTTGACGGCCTCTGAGCGAGTGAATGAATGAATCGGATGAGATCGGACGTCCATGTAGGTGTTGGAATCAGTACTTTCCTCATACACTCTTTGGCTACGCCCCGAAAGAGAGCCCCACGAGCTGGGTAGTCGAGCCAGCAGCCTCATATATGTATATAAGTCACACACTGACATCGTCGCTCTCTCCATACCATATACACATGGACGTGGATCATCGAGACGGCATACGACGAATGGAAGACGTGCCTGGGACAAACAGTTCAGTCCAGATAGTACACAGAAAGAGTGCAGAATTTGCGAAATGACATCGGAGTCGGAAAAGGAAAAAGCAATGTTGGAGGGTGTTGAAGGAATCATTGTGGGACTCTCCCATGTTATTAAGCAGTGCCAGTCCAGCACCTATTCGAAACTGGAGCTGTTCCGCCTGCAGAATGCCATTGGAATCATTGACAGAGACATGCTCGACTACCCGGGAGCGGCCAAGGGGCAACTGGACCAGTTGCGGTCCCGATGCACACAGGTCCTTCGCTCGTACGACCAATGCGTCAATCCGGTCTTCGGGAGCAGTCTATCGATGGGTAGGACCCTCAACTGCACCCTGCCCACTGTGGAGAGGCAGGATCTGGGGGCGGGCGACAAGGAGATCTTGTGGGGCGTGATTGCCGAGTCGCTCAATAAGGGCAAGGCCAGCATATCCGAGTCCTTGGACTGCATGAGCAACCTTCAAACGGAAGTGGCCAGTCTGACAGGCTTGTTGGATCAGATGCTGGTTCACATTAAGAACGATTATACAGAGCTGGGCAGCTGCACCAAGACCATCCAGGATCTGAGAGATAGAGACGAAAGGGTCAAAAAATGTTTCAAAGAAACCAAGAAATTTTTAAAGGATCTATATAAAGCCGCACTACAATTTTTTGAAAATTATACAAAAATGAAAAAAGTCCCCAAGGTAGGGGATGAGGTCGTCGATCCAGTAATAGATGCGATTGTCGAGGAGCCGGAATCCAACGAGCAGAAAATAGACCGTATCCAAGTATACCTCAACTGCCTCACGAATAAAATAAATGAAGCCAAAAAAATCGTGGATGAGGTGCTTGAGAATTTGAAAGAGTTCCAGAAGCACTTTCGAGACCTCGAGAATCGGAAACGAGTTGTAAGTAGTTGGGACGCATTCCCAGGGGATCTACTAATCCGTTCTATTTGACATCATCCGTAGGACGGGGCGTGTTTGGAGGGAAATCCGGAACTAATTCGCCGCTTGAAGGATTTGAACAGGGCCTGTCAGTCCTACAACACCCAGCGCAATTGAGCTCTAGAAACATGATTCGGAGATCCTGTGTATTATATAGATATAGATAGTACTTGGAAGATGTATACTCCTATTGTTTTTGAATAAACCACTAATCTTGAAAGCCCAGAACCTAGATTCGCGATCACTCTCTTTTGGTTGTTGATGACTAATAGTATGTTTATAGACGTCCAGGTCTTTGTTATCGGATCTCCTCTCTGCTCGGTCTCAGAGAATCGAATCGTAGAGCGGGAGGGAGGGAGCCAGGGAGCAAAAGATTGTGAAATCAGTTCCAGGTTCCCACCAGTTCCCCCGCACTGGTGTGCGTGAGAGACTCTCTTCGGTGTGACTGTGTGCCGGTGCCGGTCTCCCAGAGAAACGTAGACGGCGGAAATGGGGCCAGAATTCCGGGGGAAGCCCCGGATTCGGTTCTCCCTCCAGCGCATGTACATATTGAATACATAATGTAGGTGCCCTCCGCCCGATAAGAGGCTTTGTGGAGACAAAGACACTGCCTGTTGAGGCACTCGAAGTACTCTTCTGGAATCTCGCACAAGCACCTCGGCCGGCGCTCACTTCCACCACTAAGACGACTACTACCACCACAAGGCTATTCCGCGAGTAGGAATGGCGCAGTAGTCGCAGTCGGAGAACTCAGTGGAGATCGAGACGTCGCGGACGCAGGTTCTCTTCAGTCGCGATACAAGTCACGTAGTCCGTACCCGCAGTACTCGATAAGCGCAATGGTTTCTACCGCCGACGCCCCCCAACCCCAACCCCGAGCCCCCTTGGCTTCTATAGACGCCCAGGCCGTGGAGGACACCCTGGGGGCTCTGACAGAAATCCTGCGGGAGCTCGCGAAGGACGTCGACTGGCAGATGGTGCTGGCCAACCTGCAGAGGGCGTTCGACAAGGTGGACAGAAACATGCTGGGCTACCTGGGAGTGGCTGGGAGCAGGGACAAGCTGGACCAGCTGCGGACCGACCACACCCTTGTGCGCCACGCCTACCGGAGGAGTGTCGACGAGATGTTCGAGTGGAGTGTCTCCGCCGCCAGCACTCTGGAGTCCCTGATTCCTCTTCTGGACGGGGCAGGGGCCTCTCCGGCGGACAAGGAGCTCTTCTGGAAGACGATTGCCGGAGTTCTCGGCGCCGGCGTGGAAAGGGCAGAAGCTTCCCTCAACCACCTGCGTGAGTTGAAAGCCACCGCTCTGGAGGAGCACTTCCGGGCAACGCTGGAAAATCTCGAGAAAGACTTCGGCCCGGACGGCGTGTACGGCAGGAAGGTGCAGAAGCTGCAGGCTCCACGAGCTGGCGATGAGCCTCCATCCAAGAAGACCCGAACAAATCCCTTAGAACCTGGTGAGGGGCACTCGGAGGAGAAACATCTTCAAAAGTCATCCGGTTGGGTGTTGGTGCAGTGGCTCGGGGACAAGTGGAATGGAATGTGGTCTCGCGTTGTAAGAATATTTAAACCTTACCCGGATCCAATCTACTTAGAAGAGCTGGAAAAAATCGAGACCCTGAAGCGAGTCCTGACTAGGAACCTTGAAGAGGCCATTGGGATGACGAAAGAGATGATTGCCCACCTGGAGGACGACAAGAAGAGGTTCGAAACTCTCGGCCAGCTGAACTCCGGCGAGAAGGTATGCCTCCATTCACAAAATGGCCAAGAAACGGACCTCCTCATGCTTTCCTTTGCCATTTCAGAATGTAGCCACGCTTCTGGTGGCCCACCCGGAGCTCTGGGATGGTCTGGTCCCGCGTCTGCAGGATCTGAAGAGGGAGTGTCTCTCGTACAACAAACTACGCTGCGGATAGGCTCTTCTGAAAGTTGATATATTTTTGAAGCACTCCATTATTTGCGATTAAAAACTAACAAAGATGGCAAGTGTTTTTTTTGGAAACGGAGACAACTCCGACCTGGATATTACCCATCAGGGCAGGTGCTCCTCGCGCCAACCAAATCCCAGTAAGAAGTCGGTTCGGAAATGCTTCACAAATACTTGGAAAATGCCCACAAATTTATTTCTGTTTCGTTTGATTTCTTAATTTTGTTTTTTTTTCTTGATTTGTTACTCGCGCCTCCAGGACTCTTTCGCCTCCAGGACTCGGATGGATGGCCAGGACGCCGGGACGCTTGGATGCCAGGGCCAGGGCCAGGATATATGTATGCATGAATGTATGAATGATATATGTAATGATGGTAGCCCAGAGCCGGAGCGTGGAAGCGAGAAGAGGTGGATGGGGGGAGTACATACATACATAAGCGGGACGGCGAGATGACTCTTTTCCGCTTTTCTTCTTCTTCTTGGACTTAATTTTTTTTGTTTGTTTTTATTTTTAAATTTTTAGTTTTTTGTTTTTGTTTTGGTTTTGGTTTTCGCGGGGCAGGGATGGGTGGGGGCGTGGCTGCTTGGCATGGGCGTGGCATAAAATTTGCTTTTAAAAATATCATTACACATCACGTCAATTACAATTTTTTTTTTTGTTTGTTTTCTTTTGCTTTTTTTTTAGACATATTTTTTTTTTGTTTGTTTTTCTTTTTTTTGTTTTTAGCGTATATAAATAAATGCATACACATATATACGGTAATATATAGACGGTATATATATGTACGTGTACAAATAATGCAATAGACACACATCTATACAAATTATACTATATAATGGTTAAGTTTTTTCGTTTTTTTTATTTTTAATTTATTTTATTTTATTTTTGTTTTTGTTTATTTTTTGCTCTGTTTCTTTTTTTTAATATTTTTTTTTGGCAACAGATTATTATTCCATTAAGTTTGAGGTCCGTTTTCAGACACAAGATACACAATTAATTAAGTTACCATTTATATACGTAAAAAATTAATGCTCAATTACAAGAAATAACACTTAGGCGTACAATATTTGTATTGCATTTGTTTTTTTTTTCTTATTAGTTTTTCCATTCTTTTTCTTTATTCGTATATTTTTTTTCTGCCCATTTTATTGATTTTTTAATGAATTTTTTCTTTTAGTTTTAATTTAAATTTTAAAATATACGAGATGTTGCACAAATAAAATTTGTCTACATGATGCTGGGTGAGAGGGGATGGGGGGGTTGGGCGGTAGATCCAATAGATCCGTGTATCCAATAAGTAGGCAATGAAATATTTGACGCTCTCCCAAAGAGAGAGAGAGAGAGAGGGGGAGAGAGAGATCCTTGGCAAAATTTTTCATAGCATACTTTTTGGAAGCGTTCATCCGAGTCTTTTCAAATCACCACCAATAGATTTTTATTTATTTATTTTTTCTGTTTGCTGTTTTTTATTTTGGATATTTGTATTTATTTTTTGTTTAACTCAGCGCGAGATAGAGAGTATTACATTTAGGATGGGTTCTTATATAATCCCGGCTAATGCCAATATCATTTAGTAGACAATCAGTGGGTTATTTTGTGTGTGTTTTTGTTTTTGTTTTGGAGATCGCATTACCCTCGCATCGATTATAGTTTTTTATTCTTGTTTGGATTTGGAGATTTGGATTTGGAGATTTCGATTTCGTGTTTCTTTCATAGTAATTATCATTATATTTTGTTGTATGTGTATATATTTTGGATGACATACACACACATACATACACGTACAGGAGTAGAACACACATACATATACATATACATATACAGACAGACAGACACACCGAGAGAAATGCACATTTAGTTATTAGCTCGAAAATTAGATTTTTTGCTTCGGTCGGTTCTGGTTTCGGGTTCGATTCTGTTCTACTCGTTTATTTTCTTCTGTTTATATTTTTATTTTTAATTTTAATTTTTTTAATACTAGACACACAGACACATTTAGTGATATTTATAGCTATATCGTTATATGGTATTGTGTGGAAATTGTTTGTTGATTTTGCATTTTTTTTAATTGTTTACCTTTTAACATACAATTACGTTTACAGTTTACAGTTTACAGTTACAAATTACAGTTATATAACATACACAGATACACAGTAAATTTTATTTAACCATCTTCTTCTTCTTCTATTCCTTCTTGGCTATTGTTTCCTGCTTTTTTTTTTTTTTTTTTTTTTTAATTTAAATTTTTTATTTTTTTTGTATTTTATTTGTGCGTTGTCGTTGGCGCCCCGTTTAATTCGGGGGGTTCTAAAAGGGGGAGAAGGGGGCTTGGGTTGGTTGTCTCACTCAAAGGATTCAACGACAATGACACACACACACACACACACAAACACACGCACACACAAACAAAAACACATACTTGACGACGCGTTTACATATATCACGGAAACACAACAAAGCCATTGATACAAAATATATGTTATTATATATATAAAATATATATCTCTGTCATACTTGAAAAAATCCCACATACACACACACACACACACATACACACTTACAAAGCCATACAAACTAACCGATATACTATATTATAAATATGTATATGCCTGGCTGCTGATCCTCATTTGAATGAATCGATCGATCGATGGGCTGCCTTCTTCTTAAATCCAATAAATCTTCAATCCTATATATGTTATAAAGAAATATATGTCCCCCACCCTCCCCCTTTTCGCATGCATACACACAAATACACACACACACACACAGACACATTGAATCTAGCTATCTCGTTTTGGCTTCGAGTCCAGCAACGGCGGTCAAGTTGATGTTATCCAGGATAACGGTGTCCTGGCATTGATCTAGGCCTAGACCATGACGAAAGCATCCTTGCCACAGAACAGATATGGAAACTGGTCGATCATTGTCTGGACAATGTCCTCCAGATAGGGACGCAGCTGCTCAAAATGGCCCATGTCCGTAAAGTCGATGGGAATTAATGTGGGCCACCAGCATATGGCCAAGTTTTTGCTATCCATGCTATTCAGCTTGGAGTTGTCCGATACACTAAAAGACAAATAAATATTTAATATATTAGTAGTTTTTATATTTTTTAACAATTTGCATAGAAATGGTGACTTGATAGCTTTTTACCAGCTCTGCGTCAGGCCATATTGCTTCTTCGGACTTCAAAAACGTTTAAACCTTGTCTCGAAGGACCAAAGGACATCTTTTTAGTCGTACTACCGTAGTTGAGATACTCTTCTTGCATTATAGCATATATATCTTGATCAATCAAAAGTATTTCCCCCACAATGCTTCATGTCCGCGCCAGCAATACTGCTTTCCTTTAGACTAAAAATTATTTAAACCTTGTCTCGAAGGACCAAAAGACATCCTTTTAGTCGTACTACCGTAGTTGAGATACTCTTCTTACATTATGCCATCAATTGATCAATGAAAAGTATTTCCTCTACCATGCTTCATGTCTGCGCCAGCAATACTGCTTCCTTTTAGACTAAAAATTGTTTAAACCTTGTCTCGAAGGACCAAAAGATACATTTTCTGTCTTTCTATCGTAGTTGAGATACTCGTCTCGCATTGATATGATGTCTTTGTGGCCTGGCTGAAAATAGTTTAAACCTTGTCTCGAAGGACCAAAAGATGACATACATCTTCTATTCTAACATCCCTTTTTTATGCTTTCTTACAAACACGTTAGTCAAACACTACCATTCAAGTCTTCTTTTTGTTTTCTAACCACCCTAGTCCTTGAGATTGGTTATATATCCCCTCTTGGCACTTTCAATCTTATCTAGATCTGGCATATACTTACTGCACAAAGTGCTGGAATATGTATTTGAGTATGGCAAAGTTGATGGGCGGCAGCTTCTGGAGCAGCGACTTTAAAGCTATCAAGCGGCAACTTCGATCTGTCTTGACTTCCACATTTAGTTTCGAGGAGCCCACGCCACGTGATCCTATCAGAGCGATCAGAATTAGTATAATGACTTGACTGATTGCTGTCATTGTTTGCTGATACTAACCGGCAATCTCCTCCAGCTCCTTAATGATATCCTTGCTAAACAATGGCGGCAGGCGCTTCGAGAAGAAATCCTTAAGTGCTGTGGCCACAGCATTAACTGGAATATCCAAAGCATCTATCTCGGTGTTGGTATCTATGGAATACAAACGACATGTGTAAAGATATCCTTAAAATATATACCCTTGAAATGTTGAGAATCACTTACCGTCCTCGAAACGCTGGAAGAGCATGTCTACATGCGCACGGCTACCAGGCACTCGATAAATACCCTCGGAATCCAGGCCCTCCTTCTCAATGAACTCGACACACTTGTTGAGGAAAATGGGTATCTCATCCTTGTCAGAACTGATCATTAGCTTGCCAAATTGCGCCTCCGCCGATTCGGCCAGACCCTTGGCATTCTGCTTGAGTTTTCGCTTAAGCTTCTTCTCCTGCTCCTTTTCCTTCTCCTGGATTTTGCGCAGACGAGCCGTCTCCTCCTTGATGCGTCGCTTCTCCAGTTTCTCAAAGTCCTTCAAGCACTTGGCGTTCATATTGTACTCCGGTAGATTCTCCGTGCCAAAGATAACGCCTCCCCCAAGCTCGGGCACCATGGAGTACTAAAACGTACAACGATGAATAAAATCTCCATTAAAAATATTATAAAAAGATAGAGTTACCTCTGGCGATTTGTCGCTCTTCATGAATTCGGATACACCCGACTCTGGTTTCTCTGTGGAAAATACATAAATTAATTAAGTAATTAAATAATTAAGGAAATAATTAATTAGAGGAAATATAGTTGCGTAGACAGATATCCAAAAATGTGAGAGAGAAACATAGAAAAACAACGACACGACACATACTTTTCTCACCTGCTCCGCCGACTCCACCGACTTCACCGACGCCACCGCCCACAGCCATGCGCTGATAGTGGAGCGGTATCTCCGGCGGACTCACATAGCCGAACGGCGGTACCCGTGGCGTCTGGACAGGAATGGCCACCTTCTTCTTCTTTTGCTTTTTGGCGGTGGCTGGCTTCTTGCTGCTGGCCTTGTAGAAAGCATTCTGCTGTCGCACTCGTCGCTCTGTGGAACTGGCACAGCTATCCGATTCGGTGCAGTCTACGGATGAGAGATGGTGTCACGTAAGATCTCATTAATCATAGAGTGTGGGGTGTGGGTTGTGGGGTGGGGTTGGGGTTGGGGTTTGGGGCTAAGTTAGTTGTGAATATTGGACACTGGAGTACAAAGTATGAGGCGGGTGGTGGTGATGGTTAATCGGCGGTGATATGGTTAGGACATTAGGACAGGTGTGAGGTTATCTGCTAAACCCTTCCCTCCCGAAAAGAAGAACAAGAATCCCGAATCCAATACCTTCGTTTTCGTAAATCTGCTCGTACTCGGCCAACTCCTCGGAGTCCTCGTCCTCGCCATCCAACTGGGCGTGATCGTAGCGCTTGCCATCCTTATCGCCAGGCTCACAGCCGCCCAGATATGAGTCCGCCATGCTGCCACTACCGCCCAGACCCAGACCAATGCCGGTGCTGCCAGATCCTGAACCGGAGCCGGAGCCCGATCCCGATCCGGTGAAATTCATTTTGGCCACCGCATCGCTAACCAGCTGGAAGTTCTTCATGTTCAGCTTGCCCGGCTGCTGGGTGGGCAGGGTGAAGGTGGAGGAGCTCATGGCCGGGCAGTTGCGGCTGGGCGCCTCGCCCACCTTTAGGGTCTGGCTGGGGCCCTTCGGTCGGATCTTGTTCAGATTGGAGTCGATGTGCCGTCGCCCGGTGGTATAGGCATGCGTCGACCCACTAAAGTTATTCCATATGGAGTTCTTGTTCATGTTGCGGCGTCCGTCGCTCTTGTCCTCCAACCACTCTGAAAATTCCAAAAGGTTTTCGCATTTAGCCCATGGGTCAAAAAAGGATTCAGGCTCAGCTCATAAGGATCATCATCAAAAAAAAAAAAAAATAAAGCTAATAAAATATATCTCTAGGATTTCGGATTAACCTGCATCGTGGGTGGCCAATGAATCCTTGGATCCGCTGACATCCGCTGCTTGTCGGAGAAAAACGAATAAAGAAATGAGACCAATAGCACACCAGGATATCATCAGATCTATTATCTAGGGGCAGGATCCAACCATAAAGGTTGGATTCCAAATTCGGAAAATCAACAAAAAAAAAAAAAAAAACCAAACTAACAAAGAACAGAGCGTGGAAAGCAACTAACGAAAGAACATATGTACATTTCGGATGGTTTCTGGCGGGGATCGTGGTAGGGATCTATTATGGATATTCACAATAATATTGTATGTACATATATATATATAGCATTAAAGAAAATTGAAATAAATAAATCAGAGGGGCGGTAGGAAACATTCAGGAGTCAGGGGGGTTTGATGGAAATCCTCTCGGAGAGAACTTTTGCTTTTTTGGATATCCTTCAAGATATTACGACTTGGATTACGATTATGGCTTGCAGATTTCGTTAATGTAAAGTTCGAGTCCATTCGCTTCCCCCGAAGACTTCAATTAAAAATGATTCAATAATGAAAATGAAATTTTTTTAAACGAATTTCATAAATAATTATATATATATACACATATATATATATATATATCCAAGGATATCCCAGAGGTTAATATTTGAAAGAGGGATCTACCTGATGGATGTATCTTTTAGGGATATATTATTTGATTATCGATCTACAGACCTATAGATATAGATCTTGATAGTTTAGATGATAAATCCATAGATATACTATCGTAGAACTTGATGTATCTCTTGATTATAGATCTACAGAGCTATAGATATAGATCTTGATATAGATCTCTTGAATATAGATCTTTATTAGTGGTTCGGTGTTATAGATCTTAACAGATCTCAAGGCGTTAGGTTTTGATAGATCTTGAGGTTCTTGATTATAGATCTAAAGACCGATAGATATAGATCTTGATAGTTTAGATGATAAATCCATAGATATACTATCGTAGAACTTGATGTATCTCTTGATTATAGATCTACAAGCCTATAGATATAGATCTTGATATAGATCTCTTGAATATAGATCTTTATTAGTGGTTCGGTGTCATAGATCTTAACAGTTCTCAAGGGGTTAGGTCTTGATAGATCTGGATGTTCTTGATTATCGATCTACAGACCTATAGATATAGATCTTGATAGTTTAGATGATAAATGAATAGATATACTAGCGTAGACCTTGATGTATGTCTTGATTATAGATCTATAGACCGATAGATATAGATCTTGATATAGATCTCTTGAATATAGATCTTTATTAGTGGTTCGGTGTCATAGATCTTAACAGATCTCAAGGGGTTAAGTCTTGATAGATCTGGATGTTCTTGATTATAGATCTCGATAATAGATCTATAACCTATAGCTATACATCTTTATACTCTTGATAATAGATCTACAGACTTATAGGTAAAGACCTTAATAATCATAATTATAGATCTATAGCTATACCTCTTGATATAGATATTGATAGTTAGGATGATAGATCTATAAGGATAGGTCTCCCAATGGAACCCCCTTTTTCATAATTTCTAGTGAGAGGTTTGTGAAGTACGTTGGTGTTTTCTCGAGTGATTAGATCGAAAAACTATATAAAAAACATAAAGAAATAATGAGAAAATAATTAAAAAAAAAAAAGACATGTATTTATATATATATCTATATCTCTAAAGGATGAATACGAGAGAGATAGAGATAAATATAGAGAGACAAAAAAACAGAAACAAAGACAGAGACAGAGAGAGATAGATAGAGAGAGAGAGAGATAAACGAGGAATATAGGAGAAATATATTCAAATAGTTAGATTACATGTTATTTCTTCCAAACTTGATTCTGAAGCCGAAACGAATTGACTCTTATATGTGCATGTAATGAGCTGATGATCTGGAGGGGCTGGCTCTGGAGGAGTTGTTGGAGGAGGGAATATCTGGAATCCTTTTTTTTTATATTTTCGATTCGATTTTTTGATTGATTGATTAACGATTGATTTAACGACAACAACAAATACACACACAGAGATAAATCGATTAAAAAAATTGTTATGATTAATCGTTAATTAATTAATTATAATTATTAATTCATAATTCATTATATAGATTATAAATAGAGATATGGCGCATATAATGGTTATATCGAAATGATTGGATGAATGAATGAAATAGTATCGCATGAACGAATGAATGAATGAATGAATGAATTCATGAATATGAGTATATATTCATATATAAAATATTAGATATATATATATATAGTTGATTTGGCTTGGGATAACGAATTCTGAATGAGTTTGGTTTTTTTTTAGCTTCTGGATGGGTAAGGGGGTAGGGGGGCTTGCTTATATGTAGGGGGGGGGCTCGATTCAAAATCAGTGGCCAGGATGGAACTTACTTTGGTGCAGGTGTTTGGGTTTTTCGTTGTTGTCATCGTAGATTTCATCTAATGATATATCCCTTTCTTCTGCAATTTTATTAAATTATAAAAAAAAATATTTAAAAAAAAAAATATATATATATATATATATTTAAGGTAAAAGATTTATTGTTTATACCATTTAATGAGTTAAGAGATCGGGTAGGAAGCATTTCGTAATTCTCGCTGCCGGAACCATCGGTACCCAACGTATTCGACAGCATATAGCTTTCGTGGCGCGGCGGTGGGCGTGGCATTTGGTTAACCGAGTTCTCCAAAGTGCCCTCACCCGAATCCAATGTAATTGACTCCTCCACATGCAAATTCTCCACCTCGTACTTGTTATCCCAGGCATTCTTCAGGAATGGATTATAAAAAGCAACTACAAAAAAAAAATATATATATAAATATCATATTATTATTAATCCAAGATTTGATTTTGGGGAAAAACCTACACTTGACATACTGATCCGCTGAGAAGGTCATAAAGCTGCCCTTGAAACGATCAGCCACCGCATTGCCCTCGGTGATTAGAAACTGACAGATGTCGCTATTGAAGAATGCATTCACGCCACCGCTCTCCGTCACGGCGATGATTTGTAAAGGAATGTTGGCATTCTGAGCAGCCAGGATACTAAAAAAAATAACAGTATTATTATATATTTCAAGGACTTTTAAAAGCAAATTCGACACACCTTAAATTTGCCAGGGAAGAACGACGCTTGGCCGAATAAAAGTATATATAGCCATGGATCAACTCATCACGATACTGGCTAGTGCCATGATACGACGACAATATAAACTCCACCCGCCTCTTGGCATCACCAATGAACACATCAATTATAATGGAATGCTCCCCGGCCTTGACCAGTGTCGATTCGGCCACCAGTGGCTGGACAATGTTCTCGATGTCGTACTGATCGCCACAAAAAATGCAGCATAGGATACGGAGATCGGTGTGATTGGATGGATATGGCTCGTAGCTTTTCATTTCGGTTAGCTTCAGCGATAGGATAACAATATTGAGTATATCGTAGACATATTTCTGATGATTCTGCGTATGATCGATGAAATCGCAGTGCAGCATCTCCGACAGACGCATTCCCTCGCTACGGAGGTATTCCACCTCGTTCTCCTTTAAATCCTGCGGCTGGTAGACCAATACAATCGGTAGATTCTCAAACTTATCCTCCAGCTCCAGATTGCAGAGCAACGTTCGCTCCAAGTTGTCCTTGAGCGTTTCAAACGACTGCTGGTTGGAATAGACGCAGATGAGACCTGAAACAAACGATGATGAGACATTAATTCAGTCATCCGGTTTTGGTGACTAAGTTCTTCAGTTAATTAAGCGAAAAATTAATTGAGAGAACTTAGTCATTCATTGGGTGGTGGTGATTGGGAGGAGGGTTACCCACCACTTGAATAGACATCGATGGCCTTGAAGGCCTCCATGTCACCATTGGCAATCCTATAGTTGAGATAATACGTTTGATTCTCGTAGATGTACTCCCCCTTGCTGCCGGTACAAATCCGGATATCGTTGAGCAGATCGCTGGCCAAGTGCTCGGAGCCAACAATAAGTAGATTCAGTGTCCGATCGCTGCCGCCGGAGTTCTTCCAGCCGCCAACGCCACTGGGGGTTTTATGGTTGCCGGTGCTCTTGTCCGATAGCACCTCCTCGATCAGGCTATCGACACAATTGTAGAAGAAGGGACAATGCTCCCGGATGGGGCAGTGAATGAAGCGCCAATGCTGCACCAGCATCATGCGACGCTCCTGATCGAGTCGGTCGAGCATCTTGTAACGGGAATCCTCCTGTATAACCTCCGTAATCTGGCGGACATCCTCCTGCGTGATATTGTCGACGTTCTTGAACTGCAGAAAGTACTGGGCATGCTCCAGCAGTAGCTCCACAAAATTCTGCTTGCTCTTCTCAATTATCTCGTCCTGATGAATGTCATAGATCTGTTGGCAGTCGTGCTCCGACAGCGCCTCGAAACATTCCCGGCCCATGAACAGGACACGAACCTCCGACAGCTGTTTGCCGGGCGTCACAAAACCGGACTCCTCCAGCAGCATCTTGAACTGTTGTTTCCACCTAAAAAAAAAAAAAACAGATATTATCCTCATAAAAAAAAGGATAATAATATTTAAGTTACCCAATTTTCTTTTTATCCTGTTGCACGGAATTCAAATAGTTACGGAATACCGTTTCGGCCTCGGATGTCTCGAGGACATCGAACGGTATACGCGCCTCGTCCTCAGCCTCGTCCATGTCCACCAGTTCCGTCCACGAGGCCTGCGGGCACTCGAAGAAATACTGCTCAAAATCGATATGATTCTGTAGATAGTGCCGGGCACACTCCCACGGCTCCTCGTCACTAATATTCAGGGCTCCGATGTCCGGCAGCATACACTCCAAGGCCAAAGCGAATTTGTCCAAATACTGAGCCAGTTTCTTGTTGAGATGATCGTCGCGTAGCTTCTTCATGTGCCGCCGGAACAGCTTCTGGCCAGCCTCATGACCAAATATGTTGAGGAACTCGTTCCATTCACGATACTGTGATAGCATTTTGGAGCCCTGCGACCATAGGACATGATAGTCGGTGATCTGATTCCGTATGAGACGGGTGACGGCCTCCGAACGTGTGTCGAGCAGTTCTTTGCGCGACTTGGCCGAATCCTGATACGAGATGATCTTCACGCGGTTCTTAACCTTGTCGATCATCTGGGCGAGCAGGAGGAAGGCCAGATCAATGTTAATACTCTCGTGGGCGGACGTCTCGATCAGTTGTACGGTGCTCTTATAGTCCTTGCGCTGGCTAATCTTTTCCGCCTCCCGGACATACAGCTCGTAGGCGTCATCATTTTTTGTGGTCACCAATACCAGCGGCTTCTTGTTCTTCAATATACTGGCAATGGCATTCTGTACGAACTCCACCTGTTTCTCGACACTGCGATTGGGCACCGGACTGACATCGAATACGACAACAAAACCATCAATACTGAGCCTACCGTCGGGCATCACCTTCTGTTCGTACTCCTTTTCGATGCCCAACTGATTCTTGCATATGTACATTAGCTTCTCGGCCGAGAAGACCTTGGTGGCGGTGCACCGTTTCAGATAGGGATCCATTTTGCCGACCTTAAAGGCCTGAAAGGTGGAATCGTCCATGAATTCGGTCTGTTCGATAATATTGAATTGGTATTCCACGCCCTCGTCCGTCGTCTTGCGCACCTCGCCCCAATAAAGGAAATGATCGTTGTTCACGATCCGGCCACTGAAGTCGCTCTGGCTGAGCACTGATATGTGATCGATGAAGTAGTCGTCGGCCATCGGGCGCATGAATCTGTTGCAGAGGCATGACTTGCCGACGCCCACCTGGCCGCGGTCCTTTTCGGTCCCGGATAGTCCAATGACCGAGATGTTGAACTGACGCATCTTGACGCACCTATGAATGGATTAAGGATACAGTCAGAACAGGTGATACAGGGTTCTTATCTTTTAGAAACCTTATCGCTAAAGTCTCCAACAACTACTATACCTCTTGAGTTTTATAAAGAGGTGTCTTTTTAGGGATTTATAATCGTTTATCATCTGATAGAAGGTGTTATAAGAAAGGTTCTACAGTGGGTAAGGGTTCTGAAACCTTTAATCAGTGAGTTCTATAGGCTGAGGTAAGGGTTAAGACTAGTTAGATGACTCATTTTGAGGGTTAAATGGGTAAACCTCTATGATATGATGGAGATATCTCTGAAAAGTAGCTTTCCTATATGATATGTAGATATCTATGAGATTAAACCCTTTATGATCTATTAAAAGGTATTATATGGAAGGTATTACATAGGGTAAGGGTCCTGAAACATCACATAGTATAGTCTATATTCTCAGTTAAGGGTTAAGACTAGTTAGATGACTCATTTTGAGGGTTAAATGGGTATTACAGTATGATATGATACCTTTTCTATATGATATTATACATATATACCTCTTTCATTCTGTTTATTAGGATTTATGATCTATTTAAAGGTATTATATGGATGCTATATCATAAGGTAAGGGTTCTGAAACTTCATATAGTAACTTCCATAATCTCAGTTAAGGGTTAGGACTAGTTAGATGACTCATTTCAAAGACCCCCATGTGAGAAACCATCAACTATTATAAATATTCCCAATTATTATAGCATTTACGATGAAGATATCTTTTAAAACACCTCTTTTATAATATCATATATATCTATATATACTATATCTTTAAGAATAGCTCTTGCAAAACACAATCTGGACAACAAATGAGTTCGCACAATGATGCGATATGGAAGGTATTATGACCAGCCAGCCAGCCTGGCATCACCTTGAAGAAGTGATTCACACTAAACCGAGATTAGCACTTTGAGAACCGGAATCCAGTGATGATGACGGAGTCATCTTTTGAGAGAAGAACCACCACCACCACCACCCACCAAGACCTAGTATATCCTTTGAGAAAAATTATCACAAGGACATCGCATGAGAAGTTGTGGGATGGCCATCATATTGTTGACCTTTAGGTTTACACTTATGGCCCAGGCACTGGCAATGGTTATCCTTGATGGCTACTCCGTTCTAGCTGGGATCTCTCTGCAATGCCGCCGCCAAGCGTTGTCCTTGTCACATTTTTGCACACTTTTCGCACCAGGATACGGACTGACGGGGTCGGTGTTTTCGGTGGCGGATGTGGCCAGAACTACGGATACATCCACGGATTGGGAAACAAAAAAAAAACACACACACACACACACACTCGCACACACACACACAAATCTTCCTTTGTACGATTGCAGGAACAAGAGAAAAAGGACGAGAAGAGCACAAGAGAGAGCGCGTGCGATAAGGACAGAGCGATAACCAAGAGCCTGGCGGCTGCTGTGACAAAAAAATCGCGATTTTCTCAGCCGGCGCTAGACGAAAAAATCGGAAAAGCATGTGATTTGTTTTTTTTTTTTTCGTCGATTTTGAAATCAACTTCCGCTTCCACTTGATATCCCATTTCCGTTAATGGCTGACGCATATCCTTTACCGTTATTTACCTTGCTTGTGTTACGAACTATTCGTTTTTTTTTATTTTTATTTTTATTTTACAACATTTTTCGTAAGGACTGGCTGGCTAGTCTGCAACAAATCCTTTTTTCGTCCTGACTGTGCGGCTGCTGTTCTGCCGCTGCTACTTCTGTTGCTGCTGCTTGCTGCTGCTGCTGCTGCTGCTGCGTGCTGCTGCCCGCCTACAGCGCAAGACAGTGCACGAGAGAAAGAGAGTCAAGAGAGAGAGTTGGAGTGCGTGCGGTATGGTGTGGGTGGGCGTGTTGTTGCTGTTGCTGTTGCATTTTTTCCCATAGTGGGATGTCCACAATTTGTTGCTGTTATGTTATCCTACCGAATGGGGAAAGGGGGTGGTGGGGGTGGTGGGGGGGGGGGGGAGGAAATATGCCAAGTGCTGGCGGCTTCAATGAGAGTTTCGTACAAGTGTATACATGTATGTAAAATAATACTAATAATGGCCATTAATTGAGTTTTTCCGGCACTCGCACACAAACACACAAAACTTACATACATGTGTGTGTGTGTGTGTGTGTGTGTGTGTGTGTGTGTGGAAGTGCAGCGAGCGCAGAAGCGAAATTGGAGCTGCAACAGATTTCCTGTACAATCTACATTCCCGGGCTGCACAACAACAACAAAAACAATAAGAAGAAAGCAGCAACTAGCAGTAGCTAGCAATAGCAGTGATAACAAGAAAAAAAAAAAAAAAAAAAAGGGAAGAACAAGAACTGCCCACGGTTATTGTTGTTGCTCCAAACAGAGGGAGTTCCAAAAAGAGAGAGGGGGTGTGTGTGATTGTGGGAGTGGAAGCGAGTGCGGGTGCTGGAGCTGTTGCAGTTTTGCAGTGGGGCGTGGTGGGGCGGTGCGGGGCGGCGACGGCCGCTCGGTGAGAGCGAATGAGGAGAGCAATCCGATTTGGCAATAACAATTTCCGATTGCTTCATTTTGTATCGTTTTGGCCAAAATCCGTAATTGATGCAAAGGAGAAAAACACACACTCCTTCTCTCTTTCTCTTTCCTGGCCACTCTCGCTCCCTCTCTCTTGGTCACTCTCCCCCCCCACTCTCAGTAGAGCTCTCTCTCTCTCTTGAAAGACAATTACCTGCCCTGCAGTTGCGCACAAAGAAGAAATGCTGAATATAAACCGTTTTTCTTTAGGTTTATAGTTTTTTTTTTCTTTATTTTTTTTTTTTATCTTATTAATGCTGCCGTTAGCAAAAAGCCAGCAACAAATTGTTTGGTGGAGATTGTATATTTGCTTTAATTATATTTCCGATTTCCATGCACAAGAGACACTCACACTCACACACAAATACAAGACACAGACACAACACATTAGGGTGTAAGGAGGGGGGTGGCGGGGAGAAAGCGTACACAACGTATACAAGAAGAGACAATTACGAATCGTAAGACGCACACAGGAAACAGACGCCAACCGTAAAACGAAAGTCCTTTCAAAACGACTGCCAGTATATGGTAATCCGACTTACAATTATTGCACTTGCTCCAATGCGTGGGATCGGATCGAACGTTATAAATATGAGCAAGAGTAATTTCACATCCGAGCCGAGCTTTAACAACAACAAAAATGCAACTGTGTGGCCGCCGATTGCGCGTTTAACAATACCATCCGCATCTTACGGATATACCGAAAGTATTTGTTGAATATACCACGTGCTCCTTTGAGATATTCTGATTTTAAAATTATTAATTAACATTTGATATATTACTTACCTTTCATTTTCAATTTGGTCTAATGCGGACTACATTATAATCTAAATTAACTCGGCTATTTGATAAAAATTTTTTTAAATACCATAAAACCATAAAAATACCAATTTATACACGTTCTCTTCCTAGGCATATGCAATTCTTCTTGCTGCAGAAGAAGAATTTTATATTAAAACAAATAAAGTTTATAATTTTTAAAAAGATTTTTTAAAATTTGTTTTCTTTAAAAATTTATTGCCATTTTTAAAAATTACAAATTTTCTCCCATCTCTAAGCCAATAAGAAATTTATCGATAGCCGGGAATCCGTGGGTGGTAGATTTCACCCCTAACTGGAGGCTGCCACACTGTTCGCGTGTATGTGTGCATTGCGCATTTCGTTGATTTTAACAAAATTTTAGCCTTCCAGCCGGCTGTGATAGCCAAACCGTTGCCGTCACCGCACCGCAGATCACGTGAGTCAACCGGGACATGTACGCCACCAACAACGGTGGCACAAACAAGGCGCCAAACAGGTAAATATTATTGGCTCCAACCAGCCAACCCCTCCCCTTGGCTCTTTTTCTGTAAACTTTTTGCTAATTACCCGGGATTTTTGCAACCCCAGCAATGCCAGCACGCTGTTCGAGAACACCATAACCGTGACGCCAATTAAGGTGGAGTTGGGCACAACGTATGGCGCCGGAAAGCCACCCACACCGGCGCTACAACGAAGGACGCCCAATGCCGTGGTGGTGACCACTAGTAATCCGCAACAACAGCAGCAGCAGCAGCAGCAACAACAGCATCAAACTGGTGCCGGAACCACCACTCTGAACCTGCCCATGCAAGCCACCCTGGTCTCGAATGCCTGCACCATAATGAATCCCAGCCTGAGTGTGACTGTGAATACCACCACCACTGGAGCCCTGGCCAAGGAACCGAAGGGTAAAGCAGCGCGGGCGCAGGTGGTACGGAAACCGCCGCCTACCATCGACAACTTCTGGCCGAATATCGTGAACGAGGTGCATGCAATCGGGCAAGTGGACGCCAAGCATCAAGTCTTGCCACTGGCGCGGATCAAGAAGATAATGAAGCTGGACGAGAATGCCAAGATGATAGCGGGCGAGGCGCCGCTGCTGTTTGCCAAGGCGTGCGAATACTTCATCCAGGAGCTGACGATGCACGCGTGGGTGCACACCGAGGAGAGCAGACGTCGCACGCTCCAGAGATCGGACATTGCCCAGGCGATCGCCAATTATGATCAGTTCGACTTCCTTATTGACATTGTGCCGCGCGAGGAGATCAAGCCGTCGTCGGCGCAGAAGAGCAAGGATGCGGGTGGATCGAGTACGTCGAGCGGGAGTGCCACAGGAGTTACCTCATCCACGTCGTCCGGCACCAGTGCCGGCGGTGTCGTCAGTTCTTCCGTCAATGCATCTGCAGCTTCGGTCACGGGATCGGCTGGAGCCGCTGGGAATTTCGTGGTCGGAGCCACTGCTGTACCTGCTGCCAAGATGGATACGGGTGGAGGAGCCACCGCTACAGAGGTACTAGGCTTTAGCACGGTCACGCCGGACCTGTTCGCCACGCAACTGCAGCAGCAGCAGCAGCAGCACGTCGCCCAGCAGCAACAGCAGCAACAACAACAGCAGCAGGCGCATCCACAACAAGTGCAAATAATCCAGCAGGCCGGACACGGCGGCGCCCAGCAATTGCAGTACTTTATTGCGCTGCCGGGCCAGCAGACGGCACAGCCGGCCCAGAATCATCTGGCCAATAGTCTGGGCCTCAACATTGTGGCCGCCCAACAGCCCGCCCAGCAGCTGATCCTCACCGCGGGCCCCAACGGCCAGCTAACTGCCACCCCAGCCCCCGCGGCCACGGTGCAGCAACAACAGACGGCCCTGCTCCAGAATCTCGCCCAGCAGCAGCAACAGCAACAGCAGGCCCAGCAGCAACAGCAGCAGATCCAATTGCTCCAGCAGGTGGTCACTCCCACGGGGGAACTGACCAATGTCCCGGTAAGTATCCTCTCCTCTATGATTACTGATTCCATCACTAAATCCCACTGATCTCGTTCCAGATTGCAATCAATGCCAACCACTTGCATCTGCTCCGGTTGCAGATGCAGCAACAACAACAGCAGCAACAGCAACAACAGCAGCAGCAACAACAACAGCAGGTGATAATACCGACACAGTTGCTGACGGCACAACAGATACTCCAATTGGGCGGAGCACCCGCTACCGTTGGACAGCAGCAGGCGCAGGTTCAAGTCCAGCAGCAGCAGCCACAGGTGCAAGTTCAAGTCCAACAGCAGCATCCAAATCTCAGTCAGGGCAATGCCAGTGCCACGCCCATTTTTATAAATTCAACAGCGACACAGCAAGTGGCGCAACAGCAGGCGCAGCAACAGCAACAACAACAACAACAGGCGCAACAGCAACAACAACAACAACAACAACAGCAGCAGCAACAACAACAACAACAGAGCAACATGGCCGGGGAAAGGACACTAACCGGAGGATTTCGGTAAAAGGAGCTCGCGCTGAGCGTGCACTGGTCGTGCAATGGTAACCATATCGAGGCATGGGTGGGAAAGGTCCAGCACAATTTGTATAATATATAGTTTACGTTTGTATATCGGAAAGAAGATTATATATATAGTTAGTGCTGTAAGTGTAGAAACGATTTCTCAAATTGTAATTTATTGCTGTCCTCCTGATCTGTGAAGGTTTCACTTCCACCACAAACATCCCCAACCCCTACTCTCCACCTTCCAATATAAAAAAAAAATCACAATTTTTTAACGTAGCACCTAGATGAGAACCTAGAGACGGATACGGAATCCACGGTTTCATGTGGCATCCGCGATTTATTATGTATTTGTACTTCTAAACTGTAAGCTAAGCTCTGATAACAATTATAAGCCACCCAAGGACTATGTGCCAGAATTCGTGCATCGTTTCTTACTTTCTGGCCAGGATCTTGTTGATGTCCTGCAGCTCCCGAGTGCTCCACGGCTCGAGGGGATCGGGCGGCGATGTACGTGACTTTCTAGCAGCATGAGCCGCCGACCGGCCACGCTGGTTGTCATCCGCCTCGCTCTCCTCCGGCGAGACTTTGCTGGAATGTCAAGGAATCCTGTCATGAAGTGTCCAGTGTGGAAGTTGAATGAATCACTACTTACTTGTTGCGGCGGCGTATCCGAGCACTTTTGGCCCGACGAGCTGCCTCGTCTTGGGAGGGCTGGCACTTGCGCAGATGGAACTGCTTCATGGTGGCATGTACCTCTTCCGATGTGGGCAGATCCTCGCTATCCTGACCGCCATTCCCATCCTCGGTCTCCACCTCGGCCTCTTGTTCGATGGTCAGCACCTCCTCCGCCACAGCCTCGTCGAAATGGAAGCCCTGGAAAGGAGAAAGTTTCTACATATTTTTGAGGAAAATATTAAAGATTCGATACTCACCGTATCCACATCCAGGCCGGGCGGCGCCCACACCGACGACATGGCCTGGAACTGGCCATGGCTGTGACCCTCGAAGCCCGGCTGCTGCTCCCGGCGTATGTCCGCCTTGGAGAGGGCGTTGTGGGTGCGCTTGGCCAGCGAGAGCTTGCCCAGAATGGGCCCACCGCTGTCGCTCTCCTCCGTCTCCACCTCGGCCAGCATGGCCATAAACTCCTCCAGCTTCTTGGGATCTACAATGTCCTTGGGGTCCTGGAACAGGTTGCCCAGACTCGTCATCGGCAGCGGCATGGCAGCCAGAGCCGCTGGAGCAGCAACTGGTGCCGGCGGAGTAGGTGCCCCGGGAGTAGTGACCAGCAGGGGCGTGGACGGATCCACCTTCTTGGCAGCCGGCGGCTGGGGCTGGGTCTTCATCGTTTGCTCGACCAGATCGAAGGCCTTGTTGGCCAGCTGCTGGAGTCCGGCGAAGTAGTGTGGATCGTGGGTTTCCGGCCTCTGATCCGACATCATGATGAGCTCCCGAAAGGGATCCGGAGCCGGAGGCGCGGGTGGCGGCGGTGCAGTAGCGCCCCGCAGCGGCACTCCATTTGAGGAGGCCGGATCGTTGGCGAAGGTCAGCATGTCCATGGCGTTGGTGAAGTCCGATTCCGTGTGCAGGTTGGTTCCGTAGGGATCCTTGAGCTTCTGTTTGGTCACCTTGACGGGACTGGAAATGGAGGCACGTCCCCACATCAGGCGCCGCATCTCCTCGCCAGTCATGCCGCGTTTCTTCAGCGCCGTCAGAGTAACACGACCCACACGCTAGAGGGGATTGGAGGTGAGTATGTGAGGGGAGGTGCTACAGAACAGGGCTACCCACCTTCCAGTTGGAGACGGCACCCTTCCTCTGCTTGGCCCTGGTCTTGCTCTTGCTCTTGATCACCATTACGCCGCGAACCTCGAAACCGGAGTCATCCGAGGGCCCCAACGGTATGGAGTACGCCTCCAGATAGCCCTTGGCATCGGCCTGCGGCACAGCTCGCTCCAGAGTGACCACGATCTTGGCCCACTGCTTCATCCACTCCTTCTCCGACTGCTCGATGACCGTCACATAGGTGTTGCCCATCATGGCGATCAACATGTTGAGCAGCAGGATGGGCACGAAGATCATGAAGATGACGAAGACGGTCTTGGAGAGGTTCGGGTAAGTGGTCTGGTTGAGATCCGGATACTGCAATATATCAATTAAAATAAGAGATACAAGCACTCATCCTCATCCGCATCCTCATCCGTACGTTGTAGTCCCCCAGAGTGGTCTGGAAGAGTGCCATCCATGTGCTCGTGTAGGTATTGAACATGGTGGACTGGACCTGGGGGTGTCCCTTGTAGAGGAAGTAGAAGGCCTGGGAGAAGCCGCAGAGAACGATGCAGTAGATGATGCCAAAGGTGAACATGTCGCCCGTGATCATGGAGTAGATCATCGTCACAAAGGGTCCTGTGAGGCGAATGGCTCTAACATGGGTATGGGATGGGAGTTAATCTCTTCCAGATCAGAGCCAGTGCTAATCTTACCCAGCAAAAAACATGAGCAGGAACCAAGATCCTGGAACAGCGAATATGAGAATGGCTTCTTCGGTGTCCGTGTCGCCAATTAACCGGAAAGGAATGCAGGCCAGGATCAGGAGATTGGAGAATAAAAAGATCGCCTTTGCCGGGGCATGGGACTGGGAATAAAGGTTACTACCTAATGACTAGCTGGCCAAGATTAAGGGTCTTAATCCTCACCAGTTGCTTGAGGAAAGCAGACAGTCCCTGATTCTTAATCTCATCGCCTTGCTGGAAGATCACATAGCTGAGTACTCCGGCAATGGTGGCCAACTCTGCACAATATCTGGCCACTGTTTGGGCATTGTAGTCCCCACCACCATTGTCCTCGCCCGCCTCCACGTCCTGGAGAGCGGCTGCCGCCGGATCTGATCCATCTGAGCCGTCATCGTCCTCGCCTTCGCCGTCGTGCGCCGGCCGCAGGTAGACGGATACGGAGAGGCACAGCAAGTGGGTGGACAGGATGAGCAGACGCTTGAGGAACTGATTCTGGGCAAAGGTCTTCCACTTCTCCTCCAGCAGACGCTGGATGATGCCACCGTCCAGCATGTCCAGATGCTCGGGCTTGGTTCCATTCAAGATGATGAACAGCGCCGAGTTCCAGTCTGGAAAAAGGATTATTAGAGAATCCTAGAGGAAGGACATCACATCACTTACTGGTTCTCCCGTCGGGCAGGAGGGTATCCAAAGCATTTAAAGGATAGCCGGAGCAGGTGATGTTACTGTACCGCCAGAACTCCCTGGCGGAGAGCTCCAACATCTCGCGGAAGACCTCCGCTCGTCCCAGCTTGCAGGCCAGGGTGAGGGGCGTCAGACCCGTCTGGTTCACAATGCCGTTCTTGGCGGGAGTCTTGGGATGCCGCAGGGCATAGCCGAACATGTCCAGCTTGTCGCAGACGACCACCATGTGGAGGATCATGTTGCCGAACGAGTCCTGGGCGTCCGGATCGGCTCCGCAGTCCACCAGCAGATTGTAGACACTCTCGTTGGCGCAGCAGGCGGCCCACGCCAGCGGATACTCGCCCATGTAGGCCAGTCCCTCGTAGTCGGTGCTCTTCGCCGGATGGGCGCGCTGCTGGTCTCTCGGCAGGAAGAAGCTGCCGATCGCCCGCTGGTTGATGTCCGCCCCCGCCTCGATCAGGTCCGCCACCAGCTCGTTGTTGCTGTAGGCAATGGACAGGTGGAGGGCACTCGCTCCCAGATACTCCTCCCCTTCCATCACGTCCAGCGCCAAGTTGGGAAACACCCGGAGCAGCACCCGCGCCAGTTTCGTGTGCACCTTCGAGTCGCAGATGATGAGCACGTGGAGCAGGCTCTCGCCCAAGGCGCCGCGGTACTGCATCTGCCAGCAGGCCTTGTGATCCTCCCACTTCCCCAGCGGATCGTGAATCGACAGCGACGCCTCAATGGGAATGGTCACCTCGGTGTGGTCCCGGTACTTCCACCGCAGGAACTCCGCCCGGTTGATCACCTGGCCCTTCCCGTCGTTGTACATGAAGACGCCGAACTGCTCCCGGATCAGCTGCTCCACGGCGATCAGGCCTCCGGAGTTTATGGCGTCTATAAGATCTCCTCCTGTAAGGATAAAGTTTCGAAAAAAAAACAAAAAGGATCTTTTAATAATGGAACATCATCCAATGAGGACATCCACTACCGATGGATATCTATATCTCGGTTAATTCCCACCCGATCCTCAAAGAGAACAAGGGGGTATATGACTCCTTCCGATGTCTATATCTTGGCCAATTCTTAACCGATTCTCAAGGAGAATACCTTAAACGATTTGTGGATCGATTTCCAGTAAATCTTCATCAAAATCTGAGAAGAAAATATTTTTCAGATTTTTTTCCAAAATTTGTGGGGAGACCCCTGCAAAACCCTGGATTTCGCTATGTGGCACCTTCCGATGTCTATATCTTGGCCAATTCTTATCCGATTCTTAAAAGGAATACCTTAAACGAGTTTTGGATCGATTTCCAGTAAATCTGCATCAAAATCTGGACAGAAAATATTTTTCAGATTTTTTTCCAAAATTTGTGGGGAGACCCCTGCAAAATCCTGGATTTCGGTATATGGCATCTTCCGATGTCTATATCTTGGCCAATTCTCATCCGATTCTTGAGAGGAATACCTTAAACGATTTGTGGATCGATTTCCAGTAAATCTGCGTCAAAATCTGGGAAGAAAATATTTTTCAGATTTTTTTTGCAAAATTTGTGGGGAAGACCCCTGCAAAATCCTGGATTTCGGTTTATGGCCCCTTCCGATGTCTATATCTTGGCCAATTCTTAACCGATTCTTGAGAGGTACACCTTAAACGATTTGTGGATCGATTTCCAGTAAATCTGCATCAAAATCTGGCAACAAAATATTTTTCAGATATTTTTCCAAAATTTTCTGATGAAACCTCTTGAAAAATCTGAAATATTTTATATATCACCCGGTACCTATATCTTTATACATCTATATCATCGAAATAGGTATCCAAAATTGAAAAGTATAGTACTCACCCCTCTTGTAGTCCGCCAGCTTGTACAGTAGGCACTTGCAGGCGGTGGCCGAGGACTGGGAGATGACGGCGTCCAGGATGGCGCCGGGCTTCATTTCCGGCGCCTTCTTGCGGAGGCATTTCTTCAGCAGGAACTTCATTTCGGCCGATCGGAGGCTATATATTTATGGACCTTCTCTAATCCTAGTCCATGTGGAATCCGAACTGAAACTGAACAACCTTTCGTCGCGGATTGTTTGTTCGATGACCCAAACCACGTGGGTAAATAAACATCCAAGACAGAGACACCGTTGTCCTGGTTACTCCCACCTGACCCCTGACCCCTAATCCCTGGCCTTATCAATAATAAAAAAAAATAGATAATCAATAATATCAATATCTTGTTTGTTAGTTTATATTTTTGTCATGTTTTTTGTTTTATTGAATTATGTATATAAATATATTTTTGCCTTCATTATTAATTATTGTAATTATAACTTAATGCTAAAATATGGGATTTTGAATTTTTGTTTTTTGTTTTTGCGGGAAAGGGTTATTTTCGGATTACATATATGTACTCGTACTGTAAAATAATCTTTTTTTTTTTTTAATTTTTTGTTTTTCATAAATAATGTGTATGCTTTTTTTTTTATCGATTTTCGTATTTCTATTTTTTATTTTCCAATTTTAATGAAAATTTCAAAATTGATGAATCGAAAATGAGTATCCAACCTTTATCCGTTTATCATCATATTATATATCGCTTGATGTTGTATTTGTTGTATATTGGTATTGTTTATAGATATATATATATATGTATATAAATATAAATAAGAGAGAGACGTTTCGAAAATCGTAATCGAATATGGCTAATAAATACAGAATGACATAATATCTTAAGAGGCTTTTCCTTGGAATCCCTCGAAATTCACACACAAAATCATTATCATCATAGTCTATGGATATACATATATATATCATATATCTGGGGGCATAATTATTATTATTTTCTTTATCTTTGCAGTTCAGTCGTATCAGCTTTTATTTTAAATGCATTTTGGACTTTTCATTTGATTGGGATTACCTTGATTTGATGTTGAAATATATATATAGATATCTGTATCTCTTGAATATTGCCCATTACCCGAGAATTGGTTGTTGGTCAGTGTGTTATGTATGTATGTCTGATTTCTTTTTTTCAAAATATTGGAATTCAGTCGTTTCGATTGGTATACAAAATATATATAGAAATATATATGTATATATTCTATTGCAAGTACAAAACTCTATTGCCTATATGGATAGTGTCCTCTAAGCTTGCCCTCCCTACTCCTGGTATCGTTATTTAAAAAATGGCAACGTTTCCTCATCCTCATCCTTGCATCAAGGATATGATCCTTGTGTGAGGAAGGAGGGAGGCTGTTCAAGTCTTTTCGTTATACATTTTGGAATATTTTGCTTGTCTGTCGCTTGGCTTCCCTTATATTTTTCTTTCTTTTTTTTTTTTTTGATTCACTCAGTATACATTTTTCAAAAATTGTCTTTTTTTTTTTTGGCTACAGTCTATATGTGTTTTTTTTTTTATGAACGATCATGGATCGATAAGGAATCGAGCAATGTGAAAGACTAGAAGAATTATTATTTTTAAGAGGGCTTAACATCAGCTCGATTTGGTTATGGTTGGTTGGGGGGTTGGAAAGTATATAAAGTATAAGATTTTTTTTTTGAAAAAATGAAAATCGAGAAAGAGGGAGACAGACAGGCAGAACACACACTCTCTTCTCTCGCTCACACACACGCGCATACAAACAGGATAAACGATTTGTTGTAATATCAGATATATCCTTTTTTTTGTATAAATATGGCCACAATAACTGAAGGAAATTATTTGTAAATAGACTTAACTAATTTTCCACTAACTACTTAAATAGCACACAAAAATATAAAAATACACAAAAGCGTAATTAAAAAATTGGAAATAATTATAAAAAAAAATATTAAAGACATGAAAAAAAAAACATATAAAAATTAATAATAATTTGGCAAATATTGAGCAACTGGAGGAGTGAGGAACTGAACTGAAAGGATGGGAGTGTGTGTGTGTGGGTGTGGGTGTCTGTGTGTGTAAGGTCCTGTTTTTTTTTTTTTAAGTTTCAGCTTAATTACGCAATTATATATTTGCGTATATTTTTTTTTTTTTAGTCATGTCATGTAAAAGTTTTGTAAAAAAAAAAAAAATATTTTACTCCCAGTTATATGATGTTTTGCTTTTGTTGTTGTTGTTGTTGTTGTTTTAAGTTATAGTCTAAATTGTGAACTGTGACCTCAACCGCTACTCCTGCCACTCGTTCTCGTCCACGCCCTCCATGTCGTCCTGCTCCAGTTTCGTGGTGAACTCCATGCGCGCACTAACCGATTTCTGGATCTGAAAATATATCATTTTTTAAAGAGTCCTTCATGATGGAAAGTCCTTGACCTCCTTGACCTACCTCCTGTTGCTTGTTACTCTCGTACTCGGATTTCTGACCCCCAAAGTGAGAGTGATCCGTCTTCTTGATGGGCTGTACTGTCACTTGCTGGATGGAGGACACTGAAAAGGATACACAGATCTTTTAGGAAATCAAGTTCCAAGTCGAATATCCTTGGACTTACGCGTCTCCATGCCTTCGGGCTTTAGGCTAACTTTCGGGGCTGCCTTGTCGTTGCTGGAGAACCAATCCTCGGCACTCATTGTGGCGCTCCAGGTGATGCGGGTGGGTGGGAAAAGATCGTCTTGGAAGAGTTCACTCTGCAAGGATATAAATCGAAATCGATCATGCTTCCTAATCCAAAAAAACAGGATCAAATCCTAACCTTAATTCGCGGCACTGTGAAGCTGAGTGGCTCAATGGTGGTATTGGTTAGCCGATAGGCCTTGGAGAACTCCACACTGGCCACATCGCAGTGGTTCTTGGTGAGGAAGCTGAGGCCCTGGTGCAGCGAAGTGCAACGATGATGCGACAGCGGGCAGATGTACGGTTCCTCGTCGGTGATCTCGTAGCAGTAGATGGTGGAATCGCCCTTGCCGGTGACGAACAGTGTGGAGCTATCCTCGTCATAGAAGGGGATCAGGATCGAGGGCGATACATCCAAGCTGGTCGTTTTCAAGGGCGCCGACAACTTCTGGGCATTATAAACGCTAATCTGTCGCTCCGAGACCCTAAAACAGAGAACCCATTTAGAAGAAATCCTTGAAGTGGATTCATCCCCCTCCCCATCCCCCGAGCTTACTTGTCAAAGCCGGTGCAGACGATATACTGGCCATCGAGCGCCCAAGTAATCCTAGCACCACGCGTTCCAACCGGGCCATTGCCCTCCCGGATGGGGGTCTCCGATTTGCGGGGATTGTAGACCCGAATCTTGCCATCCTTGCAGACAGTGGCGCCCAAACGTCCGCACGGACTCCAGGCAAAGTCAAAGATCTGATGGTCCGTATGGCCCGACAGCGAGATCCTCTCGGTCATGGTGTTCAAGTCCCACAGCTTGATGGTCATGTCGTAGCTGGCGGTCAGCAGGACGTCGGCGGCTAGGGGATGGAAGCGAATGAAGTAAATCTTGTCCATGTGGGCCGTCAACTCCCCGGCGGGTGTATTGGTCGGTTCAGTCAGTCCGCCGGCGGCAATATGCCAGATCTTGACGATGCCATCGTCACAGGCCACCGCCAAGCGATGGGCATTGAACGGATCCCACTGGAAGTCCATAATATTGCCGCCATTAACCAACGAGGGGATCACACCGTCCGGCAATCGGCCCGGACGGCTCAGCTCGAAAATGGCAATCTTGCCGCCGGGTCCCGATAGTGGAACAGCAACGCGCTCCTGGTTGGCATGGAAGCCATTGCATTCGCCCGGTATCTGGCGACTGAGATTGCGCAAGTTCTCGATGTGCGTCGACTTGTGGCCAGGAGTTCCCTTCAGGTGGCGGAACTTGGACACCTTGCCGAACACGGTGGAGGTGCGCTTGGTGCTGGCGGCACTGAAAGCCGTATCCGTGGCGGACTTTTTCAGTCCAGCGGCGGAGCCATTGCCGCGACGATGCTCCTCCAGCAGCTTACCCTCCGGCACAGAGATGCGTTTGGTGTCGATGACGTTGCCCGGCTGTTGCTGCTGCAAGGCGGGCTTTAGCATCTCCACCTTGGAGTGCTCCCGACGTCTGGAAGAGGGCGATGATACCCATTAAGAAACTGATGATGGTTCTATAAGGGAATTCCTGGACTTACAATGGCACTGGCGACTGGGCCTTCTCGTCCACCTGGCTCTTGGAACGACTCTCATAGAGACGCCGCCGATCAGCAATGCTGCTCCGGGCTGTGGATAGCCTTCGCAGATCGGCAGCATCTGCACGATCCTCGCTCTCCGTGGAGTTCTCCGACGACTCTGAGTTCTGCTCGAAGATCTGGTGGAAAGGTGGAAAAGGTATAATGGTCAGTATGGAGGCTAAAGGATGCGATGGGAAATGGAAAGAAATGAATCCTTGAAAGCAGACCTTATCGGATGATTCATCATCGTCGGCCGAGGACTGTGGCGGAGTCCAGGTTTTGAATTATATATTGTGGGGGTTAGTTAGTCGGAGGTGTTAGTTAAACGGAGAAGTTGAATTTTGTTTGGTTGGTTGGTTGGTTGGTTGGCACAGGCATGTAAGGCATTGGAGAACATTAGAGAGAAGACATTAGAAACATAGAGGAGCTAGAGCTAAAGCTACAGCTATAGCTGATGGCTGGTAAGGACACTGGACATACCTTGCGACGCTCCGAGGTGGTCAGTGACTTCTGTACTCCGTTCCCAGCCACTGGTGGTTCTCTTTCGTGTTTCTCTGAAAAAAGGGAATACCATTTTTGTTAAATCCCGTCTCATGTTTGGTTACCCAAAGGTGACCCTTACTCTTGATTTCGATCTCCACAATGAGATCGGGCTTGGCACCCTGGGCCGGGGGAATGATGTCCACACCCGTGTCCTGGCCCACGCTAGAGATGTTCTCGTGAGAGCCCGGTGCCAGGGGGACGGCAAAGACCTTGTCGAACGACACGTCACCGGTGGTGCTGGAGAAGGGTTTCGGTCCCAGACGTGGCTGTGGGTGGAGATGATTTATGAGGAAAGGGATTAGTTTCTTGAAAGGTGATCTTTGGAAACAGAAAAATCGTTGGAAATATAAACAATAATTACTGAAAAAATGTGCCAATAAATGAATCGATTTAACGTGAAACCAAAAAACCAAAGAGTCCACCTGTTGGTGGACAAACAACAATGGTGTCCAATATCAACGATGGGTAACTAGAAACTAAAGGTTCTAACAAATCATGGCTCTAAGGTCTTAACTGGAAATCATAAAAAAAAAAACTACAACAACAGCAAAAAAACAAGAGATGGAATAAGAAACGAAAAAGCTGGAACACTGGATGTGGTGGCACCTTGTACGCGGACGCAGCTGTTGTGCGCGGCCGGGGACGGGGCGTGGCTGCTCCACTACCGCTCTCGCCAGCGGAATCGCTTGCCTCCGGCAGGGAATTGTTGCGTGAGGTGCGCGGCATGGGCTTGGGCGGTGAATTGCCACCCGACACCGTATTATCCAATCCCCCCGAGGATGAGGCCTCCTCGCTGCTGCCCGTTGAATGCTCCTGATCGGTGGGCGATTCCTTATCACCCTCCTGGGACTGGCCATGGGCTTGGCCGCCGGCATTGGCCTTCTCCTTTTCCGAGTCCACCTTGTATTTGGCCTCAAACTTCCGGATGAGCTCACTGCACTCACCGTCCGGCTGGGATGATGGCGTTGTGGCGGTCTTCTTCTGGCCATTGGTCTGGTCGTTGCCGTTGTCATTCCCGTTCTTCTCCATGCTGAGCATCACAAAGTGGTCGTTGTCGTTGCGCTTGCCGGGAGTCACTGCCTTGCCAGTTCCAGTTCCCTTCGATCGAAGGTTCTCCAGGTTCTTGACCAGGTCACTGAGATTGCCCCTATGGATCTAAATCGATGGCCAAACGGGAATTAAATCCTAGTCCTAACCTCTAGAGTCTAGACTCTTCACTCCCACAAGTACTAGTACTAGCCCATCCCCCCCCAGGGATTGGAAGAAAACTACTTACGATTATTGGCTCATCGCCGTGCTCACGCTTGACAGGATCGAGACTCATCTTGGGCACCGGCTGGTTGCTGCCGTTCAGCCACTCCCCGGCCACAAGATCGGTCTTGTAGCCCGTGGTCTCCGGATAGAGATCGGCATGGAAATCACGGTATGTCTTCCTTGGCACCTGGTACATAATTGGGATGACCATGTTGGAGGTCAGCTGGAGTACACGATTCACCTCCGCCTCCATCACTTTAAGGGCACGCTTCGGCACCAGACAGGCACCCTTGGTTTGCTCGCCGGTGTGACGCAGTCCCTCGATCAGATACGGATCCTTGTCCGTAATTTCAAGATAGTTAATGGTTGTGTCACCCTTTCCGGCCAGGAAGAGCATATTAGTGTCCGGATCGAACAGTGGCATCAGTATACCCGTCGAGCAGTCCAATTCCAGCGTCTTCTCCGGTATGTTGAAGTTACGAACATCCCGGATGATCACCTGACGCAGTCGAGCGGCATCGAAGCCGGTGGTGAGGATGCGCGACTGATTGCCCAGCCAAACGACCCTTGAATCCTTGATGCTCTGATGCGATTCGGCCGTCAGCTGGATGGGTGAGCCGGCGGCGCGAGGATCAAAGATGCGGACACACTTGTCCTTGCAACTGGTGGCCAAAATAGAGCCATCCTCGCGCCAACTGGCCGACTGTATGACCTCCGGATGTTCATTGTTAGCTGGAGGAAAGGATTCTGCATTATAGGAGTATTCCTTCAAAAGGACTCGTCAAGGACTTACAGAATATCTCCTTTTGGGCACTGAGATCGAAGAGAGCCACACAACCGGCTGCCGTGGAATACATTAGTCCGTCGGCTGTGGGATGGAAGCCCACCGTCTCAACGCGCCGCTGCTTGTGTGAGAAGACCGCCTCCGGATCGGACAGTGACTGCTCCAGACCCTTTTCCGGAATATGCCAGATCTTTACCTAAAAAATGGGAGGATAAAGGATAAAGGATGAAGGATAAAGGATATATGTAGATGCTAACCAGGCAATCCTGCGACGCTGTGGCCAATAGACCATCATGGAATGGTGAAAATTTCAAGTCTGTCACTGTGTCCGTATGACCATGGAGGAGGGGCATGGTCTTGCTCTTCCGGCCGCAATCGTCCAGCGGCAGGACCGCCACACTGGAGCCCGTGTGCTCCCAGTTGAAGGCCATAAAGGCGGCCGATGCGGCAATGTTATTACCATAAGTCTGATAACTGCCGACACATATCTCCCGTACACAGGCCTCCGCCTTGGGTACGATGGGTGCGGCATTTTTGTATTTGGATGCCTTGAAACGCCAGGCCATGATTCCAACGCTGATTCCTTCTCACTAAATCCGGTGCTAGACTCCAACGATCCGATGCAGTGTGAAGCTCTGGCGGATGTGGTCGTCGAGTGTTCTTTTTTTTTTGGCGAATGTGTCGATTGTCCACCGATTGCGTCCCCCAGCACTCCGCTCTCTCTCTCGCTCGTCACTCTCTCTTTCTCTCGGCCAGCTCCTCTCTCTTTGTATTTGTATGCGAATTCGAGTCTATGTGGATGAGTGTGTGTGTGTGTGTGTCTGGAAAATGGCAAACATATCCGTATAAGTAGCGATATCGGAGCAAGGGAGTGGACAAAATACAACAAAAAAAAAAAAAAGAGAAACAAGAAACAGGGAGGGGTTAAGAGGAGGCATTCCACAGTTTGTTATCGTTTTTGGATGGCCGGGGGGGAGGTCTACTGGAGCTACCAGTACTACCTCCTGAGTCATCCGATAAGGCGGAACCCACATAAACTGATAAGAGAGGAATGAATTCGTCTGCCCGATTGACTGGACAGGCTTTTGGCGTTTGAAAAGAGAAAGCTGGTCAAGAATAGTCACCGATCCAAAGCCGGATGAGCAACTAACTAATCGAGTCACTTGTTTTAAGATGACTCTGTATGTGTGCGTGTTGGTGCATGTTTGTTTGTTTGTTTGTCCAGGAGTATCAAAACACTTGATACCCCCTCCTATTTAGATTTTAAAATAGGATCTGAATCATTAATACTTTATCTCTTATCCTTGTCTAAAAAGAGAGCTTTAAACACACCTGCATAGAAAGAGCAGTTTAACCGTTATTATTCGTTTTTAGTGGTGAGAGCCGGCAGGGAACCTCCTTGTGATCCCTATACGATAGGTCCCTTTTTATGCGATAGCTCGCCCCCCCACCCCCATTTGGTTTGGTTTAGTACACCACCCACAACCCCCTTTGTGTAATCCTGTCTACGCCACTGACCCAAGTGCAGTGAGAGCACAACAAAAATAAATGCTAGGAAGAGAGAGCGCGTGCGCCAATTCAACTGTTTGTTAGAAAGCGGCAAAAACAAATGACCAGTGTGGCAAATGCAGCGGCAGGAGAGAAGGGGATGCCGCAAGGGGGTGTTGTTGTTGCTGCTGCAAGTGGTGGAACAGGCAACCGAGCAGGTATTGGCCACCAGCCACCAGGTAATGGGGTCAAGTGATTTAGAAAAATGAAAGAAAAAAAATAAATCAAATGCAAAAAAAAAAATATAAATAAATAAAGGAAGAAAAAGAAAGAAAAAAGAGAAATGTTATAGAAAAAAAAGAGAGTATATCAGCGAGACAAGTGTATGGCGCAACCTGCAGGAGAGCATATTTCCAGCTAAGGGTGCAAGGAGCTCTCAAGCCTCTGTGTGTGTTTGTGTGTGTGTTTGTGTTTTTGTTGGTATGTGTGAGCTTGGTTGGGGGTGGCTAGCAAAGTTTTGTTGTTTTTCGGCTTCGGCTTCTATTTTTCACCCACTGCCCACTAAATAGTCAACCATCCTGGTGGTTGATTTTCGTTCAGTTCTTGTTTTTGTTGTTGTTGTTGCCACTTATGCATTTATTGACATTTTCCGCAAACGCAACGCTTTTTTTCTGCATCCCATGCACTCTACATGCAACCCGATTATTGGGTGTTACTTTCTCAAGTTGCGTGCAATTAATTGATGGGGAGAAGGGAGAAGGGGGAGGGGGCGGAGGTGGAGGTGGGGATGGGGTGTTAGATTTATTCCTGAAATGCCTATTTTTTTTTCTCTCTGCCCGCTGCCTGCTGCTTGCACACACCCTGGCGCCGGCAGAATATAAGAAGAAGACATTGTAGGCAGGGGGAGCGGCAATGACAATGGCAACTACTCTCCAGCTACAACAACAAAAACATCAGCAGCAGCGGCAAAATAAAAAAAAATTAAAAGAGGAGGCAACAAAAACAGCAACACCAACGACGCCGCCTTTTGATGGACAAACAAAGGAGCAGTTTTTTTTTTTTTGCAAACGCACCAACACTCACGTACACTCACACACAAACAAAGCCGGAAGTAAAGGATATATCCCCCAGATAATTACCAATCAATATTTATATATATATATATATATTTCTTTATATATAGACAAAAATCCAAAAGCGATCACAACCGTTTTTTTATCTTGTCTCCCGCACTCGCGGCAGATTCTGGTTTTGCGGAAAATTTATATCAAAATATCATTATATTGTGGATTATTAGTTTCAACGGCCGGAGACGAAATGCATTTCGTTCTATTCTTCCCGGCGACTTGGCGGACACAACCCACTGGTTTTTCAATGTTTTATTTTGTATTATATCCACAAGCGGCGGTGAAAAATCAAGCCGAGAAAAAAACAACAGAGCGTTGTGTGCGGCTTAAATGGATTTTAGGGATGTCGATGTCGAATATATATATACACGGCTTGGCAGCACTGTCTATCGCGTTTAACAACACTTCTAAATGGTTATCGATATTTCGCTGCAGGAAATGTTATCGGAAGTTTCCAGATCGGCTTGGAATATTTGAATTAATTTTCATTAATTTATGATTAAATTTTCTACTATTAACGTTTTTTTTTTATTTTAGCTAAAGGGTTTTCCTAATCCGATAATTATTGGCAAGAAAGCACACCACTAACAGTGATGGCAGTTATCGATCGTTAACTAAAATAGCGCGATTTCTTAATTAATAGAAAATATTAATAATTTATACCTTCTATATTTTGAATTAAAAAAATTATTTAATAAAAGATTCAAGTCAAATAAATTACAAAATTGTTTTTGAAAATTACCTAATCGGTTATTTAGATATCTTTTTTTTAATGTATTGTTGCAAGAAATATTAAAAAAAAAGGATAAGCCACCCTTATATGGCCAAGTTTTAGAACCGGCTTGGGCAAAATAGTTTTCCAGTATTAAAAACAGCTAGATTTTACAGAAACTAGCCAAGTTGGCAGCACTGCTAACGAACAATTTGCAAGCAGCTCCAGGTGTCCGGCGTCGAGAGTCAACAACAAATGCGAATGCTCTGGATTTGACGAAACCAACAGCCAAACATAAAGACCCAACGCTCCCTGGCCAACGGATGCCGTTGTATCGCTAGTGGCTATTGCCGGGATATTGCCGAGATTGCCTGAATCCTCAGCGTCGCATGGTCAGCACTTAACAGGAAAGCAGAAGAGACGCGATCTTTAAGGCTCGCGGGGCCTCGGATTGAGATCTCGTCGTGGCCACGGACCCTAACAAGGCGCAATAATGGCTTCGAAGAAGGTGCCAGCTGTTGTCGATCTCGACGGTGAGTAGCTTTTGGTTAGCCTGGCGGTGCGCCAAAATAACACTTGCTTCTCCATTGCAGCGGAAGAAGATGTGGTCAAGGCTACCGAAGCGAAGAAAGCCATGGTGGTGAATATTTTGGACAGCTTAGTTGCTGAACGTCAGCTCATCCGCCTTGTCCGAGGCCAGCCGGCGTTGTACGATGGCAGGAATCCGCATTTCCAGGACGATGCCTACAAGGATCGGGCGTGGCATCGCATCAGCCGGCGACTGAACGCCGAAGTGTCCGAGTGCCTGAGTGCTTGGGCGGAGCTACGCTACCGTTTCCAGCGGCACGTGCGTCGCCTCCACGCCCACAACCAGAGTGTAATGGAAAAGAAACGTCGCCGGCGTCCCAACTTTATATTCGAGGAGGAAATGCTATTCCTGTACCCGCATGTCTCGCGCTTTACGCATCACAGGTCCACCCCGGTGGAGGTAACAGAGTTTGTGGCCCATACAGAGCCCATGCCAGATGTGGTTATCGTGGAGCCGACCATTGACGTGATTGACGTGGAGCTGGTGGGGCCGAGCAAGTTCCAATGTACGAAGAACAGTCAGAAACTGATCGAGGCAGTGCTGGCCTACCCCCAGCTGTACGATGCAACGCAACCGGGCTACGATAACCATTGGCAAATGGGTATGATTTGGAGCTCCATTGCCAACGAGCTGCGCGACAAGGGCACCAAGCTGATGAAGATGTGGCTGAAGCTGGTGATCCGCTACGAATGGGAGCTCAATCGCACCACCAAGGAGGAGATGGCCGTCTCAGAGCTCTGCCAGCTGATGGTGCAAATGATGCCGCATATAAAGAAGCGGCCGGGCACCGTTTACAAGGTCTCCAAGTACCTGAAGGTCGACTGGCACGAGCCCATCGAGCACTTCAAGACCGTGCAGCTGCTGATCGACGCCATCCAGTCCGATCCGGAACTGGTGGCGATGGTGGAGGATCATGCCGACAGCAGTACGAAGCCGCTGTGTTACGACGAAATGTGGCATAAGATCGGCGAGAAAGTGTCCTGCTGTCCGCAGCGCTGCGAGGTGACCTGGCTGGTGATGCGCGCCTTCCACAACGAACTGATGCTGATGCGCAATGCCGGCTATCAGCTGCAGGACAAGTGGTTCTTCGAGCATCTCATCCACGATATATTCAAGACCTACAATTCGCGCGACCCCCGCAAGACGACCAACAAGAGGACCCTCAACGGGGATCTCTCCGCCACGGAGGTGGCAGCGATAGCTACCGCCGGTGAACCGCCGGCCAAGAAGCCATCCAAGCTTTTCAAGTCCCCGGGTGTGGTCAGTGCTCTGTCAGCGTCGTCGAAGCTAGCGAATCCCCCGAAACCGCTCCAGCCACCAAAACCGATTCAGACGAAAACCGGACTTCCGCCAAAGGGTATTCCGCCGCCGAAGGGTATGAGCTCGCCAAAGGTTGTTCTCCCTGTGAAGGGCAATCCTTCGCCAAAGGTGGCACCATCAGTGAAGGCTATACCAGCCAAGGGGGCATCATTGCCGAAAAGTATTCCAACGTCGGGCACGAAAGTACCGTTTCAACAGCCGAAGCTACCGACACCGCTACGTCTGCCGCTGGCCATCGTCTACCCGCCCGCGAAGAAGTTCCCCACACCCACCCCCAACCCTAGTCTTCGTCCCAGCTCGACACCGATCCGCGCCACCGACAGTCCCAGCACCTCCAGCTCCTCCATCTGGAGACAAGGCTCACCCGCCACCACCGGCAATGTGCCAGTGGCAGCGAGTTCCGGTTCGAATGAGGAGATATCGCCACCAGTGTTCTTCATCCCCAAGACACCGGGCGCCATCAGTGCGTCATCTCCAAGCCAGAAGCCTGCGAACCAGCCGCACATCCCAAATCTGGCACAAAAGTCTCCGGTAGCTTCTAGTCCGGCTAATGTTTCGCCACTTGTTGCAAATGGCTTTCCGGCGGGTCTAACCGTGCGGGCCAAGATGGGAGTGCCCACGTCGCAGTTGCCAGTGGTCCGGGCGGTGAATCTGCCCATTGCGAATCATCAGACGCCACCGTTACCCGCCAAGTCGTCGCTCCTGGAGGTGGTGCTGAGGGAATCGGTGGCCCGGCAATCTCAAGAGAAGATCCCACCTTCGTGGCCATCTTCTGGACTTCAAGTGCGCATGCCACACCAAGGAAACCTATCGTTGAAGGCGCCAGTACAGTTGCCGCCTCAGCCTGTGGTGGCGATGCCTTCGCTACCAGCTCCCACGAACGTCGGTGCCCCCATGGTGGTAATCCAAACATCGGCGCTGCCCAGCGGCTGGGAGATCGCCGGTCCCGTTAACGCCACTGCGAAAAAGAAACCTGCACCGGAAGCTTGTAATCCTGCCAAGAGCGTAACCATTTCCTTGGTAAATTCTCAACAAGGTCAAGAGAATACCTCAAGCTCGATTGCTGAGGAGACATCTCCTGCAGCCACGCCATCGGGAATATCTCAGACCCCCCAAGCAGAACCCAAACCAACCAAAGCCAACTCCAAGCAAGCCCTACGAGCTTACAGGAAAATAGCACCAGCTCCTCCGCCACCTAAGCTGGTGGCAGTCACACCAATACCACCACCATCCACGGTGGCAGCTGATGCCGAGTCCGAGAACAGAGCCGCCGAGGAGACCGATTCGTCCAGTGAAGCGGAGCAGAGCGTGGAAGCTATCAAGGTGCGGCTGATGGAGTCCAACAATGGCCGGCTACTGGTTATCTGGGGCGGCTGTCTCATCACTCGCTACCACTTCAACATGACGCGAACGGCCATGCTCATCCAGGAGATAATGGCTGTTCCGCAGCTGCACAATAAGGATCCCCAGCTGGCGGACAAACGCGCCGAATTCTGGAGCTTGATTGCTAAGAAGTTTCAAATACCAGGTGAGTCTTGAACTCTTCGATGACTCCTTCCGCTAAACAGCTATCCTTTCTTGCTTGGCAGATGAGGGCGCGCAGGCCTGCTGGAAGTTTCTGGTGAAGAACATGTGCTTCTTCCCCTCGATAGCACCCATGTCGGAGCTAATGGGTCCGTATAGGACTAGTCTAAAGGTCTGGGAGAAGTCGAATCGATTGTTCAGCAAGTTTGATGAAATCGCTAGGAAGTACAAGTGGATGGAGCACCGGGAGAAGCTTCCAGATCTGATACGGCACTTTCAGCGGCACGAGCACCTGTACTGGGAGATGAGGAGTGCTCGCCCGGGGGAATCGGAGCCCCAACTCCGGCAGTACACCGATCAGGAGCGTCAAGAAGTTTGGCGCGAGGCGAAGATCAAGTTTCCCAACTGTAAGTGGATGCCAGACGACTGGCGGCTGCTTCCAAACATTAACCATCGTTCCATTTTCCAGTGAATCATCGGGATATCTGGTCCATGTTCAAGTTCGCTTTCCGCACATATATGGAGGATTTGGAGCACGGCGTTGAGAATCCGTGGCCGCAAAACTGGTGGCGGGCATTGGAGCAGCTTCGATTTTTAATCGATGTACGCTACCATCCGCTGGAGCCATTCTACTATATCGTCCACCAGAAGGTGCATGAGGAGGTGAAGCGATGCAGCATGTACGAGGACCTTATGGCCAGTGGCGACCAGAGCGGGAAACGGGGGGCCTCCCATGTCGTGATGTACCTCTCCCAACGGCAACTGCCCTGGGAGTCGGAGGAGGCGATACGCTTGCTAACTGGACGCTTGAGCGGACATGATGGACGCCAAAAAGCAGCATCAATGGAGCGTTTACACGTTTCTGACTCGGATGACCCTCCAACTCCAACTAAAGCACCAAAACCCGCATCAGATTCTGCTCCAGTTCCTGTTCAGGCTCAAGTTCCAGCTCTGGTTTCAACTCCTCTTCCTGCTCCTGTTCCTGCTCCTATTCCTGCTTCTCTCGTGGCTCCTACTTCCGTTGCTGCTCCTCCAGCAACTGCTCCTGTTCACGCTCCTGTTTGTGTCTCGATTCCCATATCAGTGCTGGCTCCTGCCTCTCCGGCAAGATCTGCGGCCGCTTCCCTGCCCGTGGCTGCTCGCGCCACATCGACCTTGACCCCAGCATCTACCCTCCCAGTCCCTACATCTACACCAGCAGCTCCGTCTCGTACTTCATCCTCCTCACCCATCTCAATTCCGGATACACCTCCGGATGGTTCAGCTACTGCTCCCGCTCCTGGTCGATCAGTTGCCTCCTCTTCTGCTCCCGCTCCTGGTCGATCAGTTGCCTCCTCTTCTGCTCCCACTCCTGCTCCCGCTTCTATTCCCAAAACTGCTCCGGTGGTCTTTGCCAAGCCCAAGGCAGCACCAGCTGCCGCAACCAGCGGCAAGGCTAGTCGGCGTCACCGGCCACGTCGAAAGCTAGTTGGCAGACCCAAACGCTATTACCTCCCCACGCTCGATGCCTTCCAGGTGACGCGGGTCCTGCGCAGCCATCCCCAGACCTACGAAAAGGCCTCCACAATCGAAAAACGCGCCGATTGGGTGCGCGTCTCCAAGCAGTTGGACGTATCAGGTGACTATAGTGAAGCCATATCCTAACTATATCCAAGCATTAATCCTTCTATTCCCCTGCCAGTGACCGAGTGCCGTCTGGGTCTTCAGCATGCGCTGCGAGAGATGCGAATCCTGAAGATAGTTGACCCCACAAATCGCTGCACGATGGGCCACAAGTACTATCGCTACATGAACGAGATGTACACGCTGGTGAAGCCGCAGGGGCAGGGTCTCATTGTCCGGACACCACAGCAGCTCAACCAGCTGGACCGGAGGGAGGCCGACGACGATGCCGTCGAGCCGATAGACACGAAACATTTTCGGCCCGAGATCAACACGACCAGCTGTGAGCTGAGTCTGGTGCTGAAGAACTGGGCCCAGGCTGTGGGCACTTTCTCGGCCGCCGACCAGAACGCGTTGGCCGCCAAGCTGAGCGCTGTCTTCGACAAGTATACCGCCGTAGATGAGGATGATGATGAATTTGAAGAAGAAGATTTGACCCACGAGGACCAGGACGAAACGGAACTGCCCTAGCGCCATCGCCATCTCCATAGGCACGCCATTATCTCATCCCTCGCCTGACAGGATTCTAAAGGACAGGATCATTATTTATTGAATTATTTTCGTTCAGTTATGGTAGAACTCTGTAGGGAACTCCTCCCTATTTCGTTTATGGATTTTCATTTTTGTTTTTTTTAATTCATTTAAAAATTTATGTTTTTTTCGTTTTTTTTTTTGTTTTTTGTAAGGTTTCATTTAGTGGAAAGTAACAAAATTATTTTCATTTTTTCATTTTTTTGCAAAAAAATAAAACAATATGCGAATGCCTTTCAAGTCAGTTTATGCCTAAAAATTGTATGTTTTTTCGAAGGACCTTGCATGCAACCTATAATATTGTAATAATAATAATAATAATAATAATATAACCATGTCTTTGACCCTCTGGGTGTTGATTGTGATGAGGTTGTTGGCCCTGATTGAGGGTCAAGCGGGTCTGGTCCTGGCCCCGCCCACTTTTATGGCCTCTTCTCTTCCGGACATCAAAGTAAGCCCGTCAAAATTGCGGCCGGACAATTGCGAAACGATTTGATTGCCTTAGTTTGTCCCCGGAATGAGGCACGAAATTAAGGCTCTGGAGAAGGACAACAAAATCAGGGGATAAATAAGAGTTACACTGAGAAAAACAAAAATATAGGGGTTTTTTTTTAAATACTTGCATTACGTAGAATATAAAATACTACATAATAATATGGTAATATTTCTTTTTTTAACATTAATATTGTATATAATTTGATTTCAAGAAAATTAATGCAAGAAATACTTTAAAAATAAATCCAAATAATTAAAATATTAAAGAAAAACTAGTAAAGAAATTTATTAAAAATCTAAGAATTTAAAAACATGAAAAAATAAATATTCTTAAAGATATAAGAGATAATAAAATATACAAATTTAGCTTTTAATACAGTAATATTTTATTTTTGAATCAAAATCTATATAATCCTATATTTTATATATATATTATGCTATATATATATCCTAATATATATTATCCTTACCTATATTAAACCTACATATGTATATTATAGAGTTAATGCAGAAATCTCCATTTCAATTATTTATTTATTTCTTACAAACCTTTTAATATTCAAAATATTTTTATAAAATTATTTTACAATTAGAAAAACTTTTGAATAATTTTTCTTAAATTCTTTATTCAATTTTCCAACAAACCACAAAGATTTAACACAAATAATAAATGAAATTTCTCTCAGTGCAGGATGAAACATAATTGGCAGCTTATGTTGTGGGTTATAGTTCTCCACATAGTGTATCCTTTGGCCATAATATGGAATTTTTTTTAACAACAGGAATTGAAGTTCTGGATTCTCTGGTCAGTCCCGCCTGTCAGACGTATCGCCGAACGATCTTCCCGCAATCGTCGCCAGTGCTCCGGTCCATCGTATTTTGCCTCCTCATCCTCGATATTGATGCTGGCATCCCAGCCGGGTTGTGGGAGCAAACATTGAGCAACGGGGGGCTCCAGTATCCGGGTATTGTAGATATCCAAAGCCAGGGATAGGACGGCATCTGCGATGTTCATGCCACTTTTGGCGGACACTTCGCGGAAGCCGAGGCCCCGTCTGGCAGCAAAGTCAATACCCTGTGCCTGGGACACACGACGGTTGTCCAAATCATCGCACTTATTCCCGACCATCATCACGCAGACGCCCTTCGGACAGTACCTTCCGATCTCAGACAGCCATTCGTCCAAGTTGCGCAAGCTCTCCAACGATGTGAGGTCGTAGACCAGCAGGATGCCATGGGCTCGCCGGTAATAGGACGGAATAAGCGATCGGAAACGCTCCTCACCGGCCGTGTCCCAGATTTGTAGATTAACGCTGGTCCCGCCCAGCTCCACGCTGCGTACCTTGAAGTCAATGCCCACGGTGGAATTATTTTGGCCACTGAAACGTCCTGCCGCGAAGCGCATCAGGATGCAGGACTTGCCCACATCAGAGTCCCCCACGACGATGATCTTGAAGTTGTATTGTGGTCGGAACATTATTCTCAGGGATTCTCGGGGATTTCAGACAAGGTGACTATATAATTAAGGTATCAGAGTCTCTCTCTGGAAAAGGTTGGAAAGTATAACTCTGAGGTTACTATGAGTTTGCTTTTTTTGAAAAAAAAATATTAAAGCTTTTAAACTGAAACTCTAAAACTATCTATATTTAAAGTCAAACAAGCCGAACCCAAAGAAATTGGTCTTATATATCCTATAACTTTTTTAAAATAGGCTAAAATACATCATAAAAATTATTCTAAAAATTACTTTAATCTCCATAACCGTTTAGTTTATACCATTACTAGAGACACTTTCATCCAGCTGCGTTCAAGAGAAAGTCCATAAAAATTAGCATTATTATGGGTCGAGGCTGAAAGTTCAAAGTTCCTTCGAGGGAATCAAGAATCCAAGGAGCAAGGAGCACCCCTCCAGGCAACAACAAATACCATCCCATCGTCTGAGGGGCGTTGGCAATATAATGTTTGCTTCTGGTGATTAACGCAATTAAACAGGTGCTCAAAATGATGTTTCCAGTGGATTAGGCCAGGACAACGATTACGGGGGAGAGCTTACAGGATGTGTCGGTTCTAAGGGAGGAACATCAGAGTGGGGGTATGTCCGCTAATAAGGACACATTAGCAGCATGCGCCACTTTCGCATTAATTCTGGTCGGTGGTTACTTGCCAGGATGTTTTTTCCGAAGGAGTGGGGTGGATATTGGGGGGTTGTGGCAGAGTGGGTGGTGGGGTGGTCTTGTAACGTTAAAATTCCATTAGCCCCGCTGGGAGGGCGCTCAGGTGTTCTGCCCCTCTGCCCCTGGGTAAGCTCATCTTCAAGTTATGAAATTTCAACTAAAATGGTTCACATGACCTCCTCCGCACCTAATGAGCCACTTACCCGGACAATCATCCGTCCGTCCATCCATTCATTCATTCATTCTTCGTTGAAAGTGAATGGGAGAATTAAACTCACAATTTTTCAGGTGGTTTTAAAGGCGGTTTTTTTATAAAAAAAAAACTGAATAGGAAGAGATTTTTGGAAGTTTTTTGGACTATATGATACCTGGTACTTTTATGAGAATTGAGAAGTAAAGGTTTACATTAAAACACTATTTAAAAGGTAATTTTTGTCAAGACTGTATGATAGCTGGTTCTTGTCAGGGCTTTACAAAAGAAGTATATTTTATATTATAGTTGTATTATACTACTTTATGCTATATGATGTCTCTGGTATATATCAGGAAAAACAATTTTAAGACCAGTAGTACCTGAAATTTAAGAAAAGAACTCAACCTTTATAGGAAAAGAACTTAAAACCTAAGAAACTTATGAGAGAAAGCATGGGAAAGTTTACTTAATGATCAATTTTCAAAGTCTTTTTTTAATTTTTTTAAAATCTTTAAAATATCTACGAAACTTTAGCATAAAAAGTTCCACAAAACCCATGGTATATGATTTTCTCTTACTTATAACTTAACCCTAATGTAGGTAAAACCCACCCATTTGCTACCCTGGATTTTTTCTATAGTATTTTACTTTTTTTTATATTTAAAGAGACTACAAAAAAACTGCTAATTGTACTGTTTTTTGTATTTATTGTTGATTTTCTTGCTATTCTCCCATCATTTATTGTTAGAAGCAAAAAAATCAGCAAAGTAGTTATAATAAAATGCCAAAAAAGCCAACTATTTTAATGATAGTCCACACAAAAAAAAAACCCAATTCCAGAATTGAAATAGAAATAGGTATAGGTATAGGAATCGAAATCGGACTCTCGGACTTACAGCATACATAGTTCAATGCTTGGCTACTGGGCCACAGGCCAGAAATAAGTACATAAGTACTATACGGAAAAAAAATCATTACGGGAAAAGCACAAAATATATTAAAGCATAGTGGCACCGATGGTTGTTATACCCTTTCTGGGTTGATCTGAAGGTAATATAACAAAATATATACAAGTTTTTAAGAATATTTATGAAATTTTAAAGAAAAAGTTTAAAGAAAAAGTGTGATAAAAATTTTATTATAGTCAAGTTATAATTATTTGAATTTTAAATTAACCGAAATATGAAAACCTATGAAAATATTTATATATATATTTAATTAAGTCTCATTTTCCTAAGAAAATACTAGTAAAAATAAAAATAAATATTGCAAAATAGCATTAAAAATTCAAATAACCTTTTCTTAAGGTATGTATTATAAAAATAAAAAAAAAAACTTTGGAGCTCTACAAAAATAAAAAAAAAAATTAGAAAAAGCAACAAAAACAAAACAAAGAACACGCCCCGCTTTTGGGGACGAGCAAAAAGTAAACAGAAAAGCCATTAACAGTACAACAATAACAACAACAATAATAATAGCAACAATTGCGAGAAACAAGTACTTGGCAACATGCTCCTCTTGTTGTTGTTGGAGTATTGTTGTTTTTGTAGACTGCCTCATTTTCTCTTATAGCCCCCCCTTCTAGTGTGTTTTTGTTGCTGAATTGTGCATGGAAAAAACAATTACAATTTCGCAAACAAAGATCATTTGCGAATGAGATCGACGACACGATACAATGGCACACCACAAGAACAACAACACCAGCACTGCCCGGTGGAGAGGGCACCAGAGTGCACTCAAAAAAAAATATGACGACAGAAATTGAAAGCCATATAGACAATGTAAAGGGCCTTATACGAAAACCCACGATTTTGCAGGGGTCTCTCCAAAAAAATTTTAATCGTACATCGTATTCCTCTTAAGAATCGGATGAGAATTGGCCAAGATATAGCCATCGGAAAGTGCCATATAGCGAAATCCAGGATTTGCAGGGGTTTCCCCACAAATTTTGGAAAAAAATCTGAAAAATATTTTCTTCTCAGATTTTGATGCAGATTTACTGGAAATCGATCCACAAATCGTTTAAGGTATTCCTCTCGAGAATCGGATGAGAATTGGCCAAGATATAGCCATCGGAAGGTGCCATATAGCGAAATCCAGGATTTTGCAGGGGTCTCCCCACAAATTTTCGAAAAAAATCTGAAAAATATGTTCTTCTCAGATTTTGATGCAGATTTGCTGGAAATCGACCCACAAATCGTTTAAGGTATTCCTCTTAAGAATCGGATGAGAATTGGCCAAGATATAGCCATCGGAAAGTGCCATATAGCGAAATCCAGGATTTTGCAGGGGTCTCCCCACAAATTTTGGAAAAAAATCTGAAAAATATTTTCTTCTCAGATTTTGATGCAGATTTACTGGAAATCGATCCACAAATCGTTTAAGGTATTCCTCTCGAGAATCGGATGAGAATTGGCCAAGATATAGCCATCGGAAGGTGCCATATAGCGAAATCCAGGATTTTGCAGGGGTCTCCCCACAAATTTTGGAAAAAATCTGAAAAATATTTTCTTCTCAGATTTTGATGCAGATTTACTGGAAATCGATCCACAAATCGTTTAAGGTATTCCTCTCGAGAATCGGATGAGAATTGGCCAAGATATAGCCATCGGAAGGTGCCATATAGCGAAATCCAGGATTTTGCAGGGGTCTCCCCACAAATTTTGGAAAAAAATCTGAAAAATATTTTCTTCTCAGATTTTGATGCAGATTTACTGGAAATCGATCCACAAATCGTTTAAGGTATTCCTCTCGAGAATCGGATGAGAATTGGCCAAGATATAGCCATCGGAAGGTGCCATATAGCGAAATCCAGGATTTTGCAGGGGTCTCCCCACAAATTTTGGAAAAAATCTGAAAAATATTTTCTTCTCAGATTTTGATGCAGATTTACTGGAAATCGATCCACAAATCGTTTAAGGTATTCCTCTCGAGAATCGGATGAGAATTGGCCAAGATATAGCCATCGGAAGGTGCCATATAGCGAAATCCAGGATTTTGCAGGGGTCTCCCCACAAATTTTGGAAAAAAATCTGAAAAATATTTTCTTCTCAGATTTTGATGCAGATTTACTGGAAATCGATCCACAAATCGTTTAAGGTATTCCTCTCAAGAATCGGATGAGAATTTGCCAAGATATAGATATTTTCAGGTACCATATATGAAAACCCCCCCAAATTTTTTCCAGTGCTGAAGAATGTAATAAAAATGGGAAAAGCGCATTAAACAGAAGCTTGTTTTAATTGAACGAGCCAAAAGTGATGACTGATCCTCAATCTGTAATCGATCGCTAAGCAATATATAGAATAGCATAATATTGTCCGGATGGGAATGAAAGTGATAGCTATTGAGTGGGTGGAGTGGGATGGAATGGGGGTGGGGTGGGTTGCTGGGTCATAGCAGGGGGTGAGGTGGGCGGTGGGGGGGAAAGAGGCGACACCGAGCAAACAAAGCAACAAATCAAGCGGAGCAAACAAGCAGAGCAAACAAGCAGCAAGATACAAAGCGAGTCATTCTTCTGGACCAAGGTGATATGTGACGGTATCTTCAGATATATATCTCCATGTATCTCGCTTTTCTTTTCTGTTTTTATTTTAAACTAATTCTTTAGCATAAATATACTTTTTAATAATTATCTTCAACAATATTTTATTAAAAGACTAGAGATAAGTCTTTAGAATTATGGGTTTTTATAAATTCTCTCTATAGCTCTAGCAAATCCCCCATTTATAATAAAATAATTACTCTAAAAATTCTTCAATCAAAAATCAATCCAAACAGTTTTGAAGATAGACTCCTCGATAACCTTTCAATTCCCGAAATTACCCAAAAGATTATTTTCTGTCAATGCCAAAGACTTGAAATACGAGATTCGAACTGAAAAGTGTCAACTATAAGTGTTGACCCCTAAATTGGAGGGAAAGACGAAGCGTACATATGTATGTTGACCTATAGTACTGACCCAGTAAACGTGCGTACACCATGAAAAGCCCCAAAAAAAAAAAACTAAGACCCTCGTCTTTGTGGCCAAAAATGAAAACAAATCTGGTTTAAAACGTGACTTGGTTATTACGCCTAACGAACTTTCTATGAACATGAAGCCTAGTGGTACTCCATACTAACACTTTCAGGTTTCAGAATTTTCCGGAAATCAAAAGTGTCGTCTGAAATAATTATACTTTCAAATACCTCACTAAACTTGAAGTATTTCCCAACTTGAATCAATTTTTTTGTTCTGTAATTCAGTTTGGTTTTTTTTTATTTTTTGGTTTCAACGCCCTACCAGGTGAATAAACTATGACATGGGAATTAATTGCCGCAATAATAATTTACAGTTAAATTAAGTTGAGTGGCACTTTTTAGCCAGAACTCTCTATTTTTTTTGCTGCTCTTTAATTTGGCCATTTGGCTTTTTGTGTTAACTTGGCGATTTATTGGCCCAAAATGAACCATTGCTTCATCGACTTGGTTTTATGGAAGATTTGCAATCTTTTCAGAATTTGTAATTTTAATTTAAAAGAGCTTTTATTATTTACTTATTGGTGGGTCACTTAATAATTATAACTCTTGAAACTATAAGGAAAATGAATATTTTTTACTATAAAGATATATTTTGCTAAAGATATAAGAGATATATTGTTATTTAATCCCAAAACCCCCAAGAGAAGAACACAAGCTTATCTTTTTTATTTATTTATTATTTAATATTTAATAAACTAACATTAAATGATGTTATATTAGGTCTTAAAACCTTATTTATACCTTACTACTTTTTTTACCTTATACTATAATTAGTAATATTCCTTTAAAATACCTCATCATGCTCTCTTCCTGAAGAACCGCCATTTTAAAGCAGCCATTTTGAATTTTAGATAAAGAAATCTTTCAAAATATTGAAATTTTTGTGCTGTTTTTAAAAAATGGTTCTTATCTTAAAGATTTCTCTATTTATTTAAGCTTATTCCATAAATAATTTTATTAAAAATAGGGCTTATTTCTAAAACAGAGAATTAAAACTTAGATATTCTAAATTTCTACTTATAGGCTGAGATCCTCTTTTAAGAATTTTTGATAACTCTGCGACCACAGTGCCCTATGGAGCTCCACAGACATTCCCGATGTTATTATCGCACAGTATTGTTGCTGCTGATGTTGCTGCTTCTGCTGCTGCTGCTGCTGCGGCGGCGGCGGCGATTGCTGCTGCTGTCACTGGTTGCTGGCGGCGATTTCGCGGCGGCTTCAGCCAGTTCGAGTTCGCACTCGGCCACAGACGGAACCGAGACCGAGATCGCGGAAGAAACGGTGTAACCGAAAGCCAAAGCCGAAGAATTCGACAGTTACGAAGCGGAAAATAAAAAAGTTCGAAACGAAAACGAAAAGCGTCGTAGTCAGTGAAAGATCGCGTCGCAGTCGCTAGAAGATCGCGCCGTAATCGCGTTGCAGTCGCCCCCAAAAAATACAAAAACTGAGTGTCGCCCAGAAGATCAGTGCGTGTCGCGCTCAATTAAATACCCATTTTTTTTATCACTTTTTTTAGTTTATTTTTTTTTTGCGACACTATTATTATTTATACTTAATTGTTTAATAACAACAACAAAATCAAGAGGAGCAGAAAGTAAGGAGAGCAAGAAGCTTCTTCAGAAAAAAAGGAAAATATATATAAAATAAAGTGAGAATAAAGAGTGAAGTGGAATTCGTGTGAGTGATCGCAAGAGTCCCTTGAAGTGGACATTGAACATCGTCGGAGTGCCATCCAGGGGTAATTTCATTTAATTTACTTCCTTGTACTGTATCCTAAAAGTACCCCTCCTCGATCTACAATTTCATCAGTTTCCCCGCTTCAGAAGTTCAAGTTCAGTGAGCAAAAATTACACATTTTTTTTTTTGCCGGCAAACTTGCAAAAAAAAAAATCGACAAGACAAGGCTTTACAAGACTCGTCTTCTCTCTCTCGCTACACTGAGAGAAAAGTATGGAAAAGAATTGCTTTTTATAATTATAAATAAAATCAATATCCTTTATAGATCTCTTGAGTTTAAAAATTATATTCTCTTTTCTCCTTGAACTCACTTATATATGAGTTTGTAATGCTTCCCCCCACTCTCTTTGCTTCTTGACGCTCTCTTTCGTTTTTCTCTCTGTTGTCTTTTTTTTGCGACTCCACGGCTCCACGTCTCCACGTCTCCACTCAGTACATTGCACCTTTTGGGCCTTATTCCTTTTGTGGCGTCTTTCGCTTTCAATGCATTTTGACAGTGGATTGCTAATCGTCCAGGCATTTTGCATTCTACTTTGCGCCACCTTTCGTCCTCATCTCAACCCCCCTTTATCTTACCCCACATTCTTGCCAATTTTATCATTTCCTCCCACTCACTTAAAGCCCCACAATCTTCCCACTCCCATTCCCACCTGATGATAAATACCCAAAAATTTTGATAATTTCAATTGTTGCGAATTGTCTTTAAATGTCTAATCAGCTGCTCTACACTCTGCTATAGAAATTGGCTTAAATACATACCTTGGACTTATCGCATGCCAAAACCGAAAACCCAAAAACAAGAAACCAAAAATCTTAAAAGACGAAACCCCAAATTCGTAACCAAAACCAAAAACCTCCACAAAAGCCCCAAACCGCAGAATGGAATCTATTACCGCAGTGCGGTTTCTATGAGATCACTGAGAGAAAAGTTCAAGTATTTTTATTAAATATATTATAATATAGGAAATAAAGAAGTTAGAGTAGGTTTGAAACAAAATGTCTAGGTTCTTATAATAAATATAGTAAGTAAATATATTTTGAGATGTTTTTAAAGCTAATAGTTCTATTATAGAGTTAGGTTCTTAAAAGATATAACATTTTAATATAAAAAGAGTAGAAAATATTGATGAAATATTATATTACAATATATTACGTTTAATATGTAAAATATATGTAAGAATATATGAATTTCTAATTAAAGTTATTATAATATTTATACAGATATTCTGTATTATAATATCTCTACTGATCTTAAACTTAGGACCCTTTTTCTTCAAAAAGAATATATAAGAATAATAACATTGAATCTAAAGCTATTAAAACATATATAAAGATAGCTCTTTATTATAATATCTCTACTGATCTTAAACTTAAGAAACTTTTTTCTTTAAAAATTTTAAACCTAAAACCTTGAACTATTTTTAAACATTTTTTTAAACTCCATTTTCATATCGTCCACCTTAGTGCTGGTTTTTTTATTAAAAATACCTTTCGCATTCGTGACTGGCACTTCCCAGCTACTGGATCCGAGTTCTCAAATGATGAGGATCGAGTTCAGCATACACAATTTATGTTATTTATTTGTTTGTTTATTTGAATAACTTAATTTTTTTCTCTGTACGTGCAACACCATCAACCAGATTTCTGATAAACCGCGAATGTTTACCGTCATTACCTGTGTCTCACTACCTGGTGTACTGGTACTGGTCCGTGTACCCCTCTACTCATATCCTCAGTTAGCCCGCTACCCGTGATATGGAATTTCTCATGCAATTTGCGGTTGTCATACTTATTAGCTTTAGATTAGAGTCCACTAGGCCCCGGGCCCTCTTATCAATGGGTTGGTCAGTTTCAGGTAGAGTTGCCCGACTTTGTCTCACTGGCCCCCCGTTTCTGTTGCCCTCTCTCTCCCCTTGATAGCCATCTCCGGTCATTTACTTTGCTAATAATCTCCACAGAACCCATAAAAAAAAGTAACTAATCTACACGCATATTTCAGCTTATCTCAATGACCATTTAAATATATAGTATGTATGTATATATGTATGTAGTTACCGATCTTGGCCCATAAAAGACTATTACGTGAACTGTTATTCCGGGGATGGGATTATCTCTGAAATGCCCTAGAGCGTTTTTCAATAAATTTCCATCTTTCGCTGAAGCAGAGAAGAGCTTTATTTGTATCGTTTTATGAAGCTCATTTGCCTAAATGGTATTTCACGCTTTCATAAGCGATTTTCTCTGAAATGAATTGGGTTAATTTTTAGCACAAATGAGGGCTATGGGTGTTATTAAAAAATTACAAAATATAATGAGTCATATATGTGTTTGGTCACTCCTTAAGTATCATAGTACCAATGGTCACACTTGACATTATTAAATCATCAATGAAAGTATCAAAGAATAATACTTTTAAGGTTGATCTTTAATAGGTTTTATCAACCAAATAATAACACTTTTATAAATCATTTATTTTTTTATATAATCCACGATCATCTTTGGTTATATAACCGTTCCATTTAGGTATTTTTTTGTGACCTTTTCCGCTTACGGAAGCCCTTGGCACTTTTGTCATGTGATCTCAGCCAAAATTCCGCGCCGATCTTTGCCACCGATATTGCCAATTTAGGCTGCAACACCCACATCAATAAAAAAATGCCGAAAAAATAAGATAGGAATACTAGCACTAGGGGTAGATGGTGGTTTTAATGCTCTATAAGAAGAGCTTGATAGTAAAAGATACAATATCTTAAGATAGAAGATGGAGGGATAGGACTTCTTAGAGACTACTTTTATAGACTTGAAAGGTTTAAGAATTCTTAATCATCCCTGGAAAGGGTATTAAAAAGTCCATTATCTTAAAGTTTGTTTCTTTTCCCCCCAAAAAAGTCAACTTTGACTAATGCGGTTGCAGTTTGGCGATCGGTTTTGGCGATCAGTGGTATGGATAGTGGCAGTGATCAGTGTCGATGGATGGATGGATACCATACCATGTGGGCGCAGCAGCCACCAAAATAGTTACCCAAGTCGCACTCTTGTTTTTGTTTCAGTTTCTGGCTCTGGCTCTTTATCTGTATCTGTATTTGTATCTGTATCTGTGTCTGGGGCCAACTGTTCCAATAGAAAGCCAGTTAACCAAGCCAGTTTATTTGTTATTGTGGTTCGAGGCCAGGCCTGGAGGAAGAAGAGCGACGATCGAATGGATCGATTCGATTCGATTCGATCGTCAGCGTCTAAATATAGATTTCGACCATATTTGATGGCAAATATTGGCAATGAGTGTGCCACCGACCGAACCTGCCTCAATTCAAGTGGCATGGCCCTGTCTGTATCTCTGGAAAGCCACAACTCCTCATCTATATCTGTATCTGTATCTGTATCTGCACGTGTTGCGGGCAACATGTCACCCCACGCGACATGCTACATGCCACAAGCAACATGCCGCATGCCGCATATTTTTGTGTCGCATTGCTAGCTACCAAGACATGTTGCATGTACATATAGCTATAGCTCCCTTAATAACTTTTAATCTATTTGTCAATATTTTCTTGTTTAGTTTCCAAACACTTGGGCCTCTGGATTGTTTTAGTACCTGTATCTGTGCGCAAGAGTAGTACTTGTATCTATATTTGTTGATTTTTAAAATCTTCTTGGTTTTTTTTTTTTGGCTAAGCTATGCGACTCTCTTCACATCCATCGTCTCCATCGTTGGCACCCCATCTCCCATCTGCCACCTCTTCCTGGTTGTTGTGGCAAGTCAGTCTGCCGGCATCGCTGCCAGCAGCATTCAGACAATGCCCGCGTATTCATAAACAAGGCATGCCTGTCCCACTGTCCGTTTGTCCGCCTGTCCGCTCACCTCCTACTGTCCCTCATCTAGTTCGCCTCCTTCTTCTTCTTCTTCTTCTTGTGGCTGCCACAAGATTTCAGCAAGTTGGTGCCACTTCTTCCTTGGTTGCCATGCGCTGCAAACAAAATATTGTTTTTTTTTTTCCTGTTTTTTTGTTTAACTTAAAGATACGAAAGTGTGAGATACCCTGGATAACAGATACTTGGTGGTTTTTTGTGTTTGTTTGGGTTCTGGTTTAAGTTGAGTTGGGTTTTTGGGATATAGTTTTGGTAGGAAACTATCTAGATATATGTACTTATCTAGCTCTTTAAAGGTTCTTGAAAAGATCATTTGGTTTCTAGAGTTCGAACTTTAAACTTTGGTTCGAGTTTGAAAATACTTTAAATTTTATAAAGATACAAATATTATTTAAAAGCTCTTAACAATCTCTAAAAATATTCATTCTTCATAAATAAAACCTTATAGACATAATAAGAGCTTATAACTTCTTACCATATATAAAAGTCCTAAAATATCATAGTTCTCCTAGGTTAAGAGTTCTTTTTTCTATATATTTTATAAATCTGGTATATTTAGTATATCTAGTATTTTCTAGTATATTATTTGCTAGTATATTAAAACCTTATTTATGGAAAACAATCTTTATTAAATCATGAAACCCCGTAAGAACCAAGTTCACAAATATTAAAGTATCTTTCCGAGACTTCTTCCAAGCTACAAGTTCAAACCATAAAATGGTATTAAAACTTTTTTTAAATTATTTTTTATGGTATTTTAAAGTCGTTACTGTATTACTTTAAGTATATTTCCTTTTTAGTATTATTATTATTATTTGTATTTTTTGGTTTGTGCGTTTTGTTTGCCTACAGTTGCTGATATCGTTGGCGGTCTGCGTCGGCGTTGCCGTCTCTGCTCTCAGTCGCTGCTCTAGTCTCTGCTACTGTCTCTGCCTCGGCCTCTGCTGCAGTCGGCGTAGACGTCGTCGTCAACGTCAACGTTGGTGTCTGTTGTTCCTGCAAACTATTGTCTCCTTCAGCTAGTTTGTTTGTTTGTTTGTTTGCTGGCCGGGCATCAGTTTCTGGGTCTTTTTCTGTTTCTCTGGAAACTGAAAGTAAAAGTTCAACCTAATGGATATTGTATCTTTGGGATATATATTTGGAAAAAAAACCCCATCACTTCAACGCCACTGACCTTGGTCAATGCGATCTCTGTTGGCCCGTATCCGATAGATACAGATACTGATATGGATACTGTTGCAGATACAGATACTGACGCCAGTTGTGCAGATTCTTTTAAAGGGACACTTGTTGTTGTGGCTTTTTTGTTGTTGTTTTTGTTACTGATTGAAATCATTCAATACATTCTGACCCACATGCATTTCAATTGCCCAGATGCACTCAAAGAAAAGTCTAGTAAGTGGGTATTTTTTTGTATAAAAAAAAATCATAAAAAATACCAAAAAAGCGGTACATTAAAAGGCAGCGTCTTTAGTCTAAATATACTGTCTAAGCCTTAAGAGACCTATTATTTAGCTTTAAAAGACTTGAATGATAGTTTTTCCCAGTAGTTTTCATATCAATTGATTTATGGAGTGAATCAATTGAGTGGCTATATAAGCTACTATATAGAATGCGATCGAAATCGCCTTGGCGACAAAGTCACCTTCGGCCCCAATTGAGCTCGAAAGTCATCTTCAGTCCATTTAGTACATCGTCAACCTCATTAAGAGACCATCATTACGATCCTAACGATGATGATGATCATCTGGAAGCAAAGAGTCTGCTTTATAATTTTTTTTTTTTATTATTATGTATTTTTTTTTCCGCCAGATTCCGATTACGATGCGTGCCCGAATGTCAGAACCCGCTGGGGCTTATCATTCAATTTACAGTCGAGTTTATCTGGTAAACCGAACTGGCACAAAGGCCAGAGCCAGAGAACAAGGCGATAAAGTCCCGTCCCCGGAAAGATTGTATTCATTTATAATATATAGTATATATTATATTAGACCTAGGCCTTTGGGAAAAAAAATCTCTCTCTCTATCTATCGGCAGCTTAACCAAATGCCTTAATATCACACAATTCATTTCAATTTCACGCTGTTATTTAACCTTAACACAAATTCAATAAATAATCCCCCTCCAAAAAAAACTCGAATCTCAAAAATTGATAAACTGAAAAGATCGATCCAATCGACAGCCTCGTTAACCGGCCCCCAAAGACTCGATTTGATATTGTTATTGATATTTCATGCCTTAAATATTTCTCATCATCTCCCCCAACCAAAAAAACCAACAATATTGGAGTGTTTGTATCACAGTTTCTTAATGAGCTTTCCAAAAACAAAAATATTGATAAACAAAACCAAAACAAAGCTTGAAACTTTGGGGTTTTGAAGCTTGTCTTTTTTGAAGTCTTATGGGCGTATGATATTTGATGAGATATTATAAGGTTTGGAAAGTTAAGGATCTACTTTTGGATATATTTATGGTTCTAGGATATAATATTTATTAGAAAAAGATTTTTAAATATATTAAAAATAATTTTTGAGCTTAGTTCAGCCTAGTTCTTTGAATGGTATGATAATATTGAGATTCAAAAGACTGCCTCCTTATATATATTTATTTCTGCTTATTTTAAATAAAAAACTCAATTCTTTACCTCATTGTTAAAGCCCCGATGAGAGATGTATCTATATAAAAATCAGAAAAAAAATTTCCACATAATAAAGGCAAAGGTTTTTTATTTCAGTTTCGTTTTTTTGTAGCCAGAAGCAATTCTATACCGTGACTGCCATATAATTCCGATAAGTTGTGAACACTTCCATTTTCAGAGTGACATTACGGCCACCCCCCCTTGCCCTTCTTTAGCTTTTTTTTTTTTGTTTTTTAACTTTTTGATAAACAATTTATAAGGTGGAAGTGGGAAAAAAAAAACAAAATGAGGAGAAGCTAAATAAATAACAACTTCAAGACAAAACGCTCATTTTGTATGCATTTAAAGCTTTTTTGTAATGAGCTGCCATGAGACGTGTAGCCATCATATTAAGTATATTATATAGTATGCTATATATGTATATATGTAAGTCTATACATGTATAGATTTCAGACTTAAAGTCGTATGTCTTTTGGGGGGTTTTTGTTGTTGTTGTTATTGCCAACAATTTCGGTGAATGCATTTTAACCAAAAACGTTGAGATTGTCAACGCGTATCTGTTATCGGTGGGATATATATATGTATCTTGTATCTGGTATCTGAAAACTGGGCACAATTTCATTTGCAATTCAACTTCCGTCAACTGACTGGAGGAATTTCGAGTTCAAATTCGAGTTCGAGGCTTTTTTAACTGAAACTTAAACTCACAAAAAACCAAAAAAAACTGAAATAAAAAATTAAATGATTATGTAAATGAAGAAAATGTAATGAAAATGTAATTAATGAGTTTAAAACTGGCGGAAAAGTTGTGGAAAAATACGTGAAACGGGTTTTATTATTCAGTTTTTTTCAACATCATCATCCATGAAATGCGTTGAACGGACACGCGGACACACGGACACATGGACACACGGACATTGTCAAACAAACTTCGGGTTAATGTTTGGACAGGGGCAGATATACGATTGCTCTCTGCACGGTTTTTAATTAAAAACGTATGAATGTATCTTTGTATCTTTCAGATACACATTCACTTTTAGACAGAGTCGCTGCTGCGTGTGGTTGCCTTTTTTTGGTTGCCTTTTTTCCATCTTTTTATTATTTCAGTCGTCTGGCATTGTTTCTGGCTTAATGCAGAAAACTTTTGCAGCCATCTTTTGATTCATAGTTTTCAGGATTTTGTTAATCAAAGATTTTGGGATAAAGTTACTTACAAGGTTTTGGAAGAAACCAGGAAGAAATTTCTTTGAGAACTGATCATTTTGGGTTGGAAAATCAGTTAAAAAGCATAGAAAATAAAAAAAAAGCATGCTTTTTTTGTTATATTGGTCTGTAAACCAAGTTATCAACATTTAAAAGGTTATAGGATAGATGTCTAGATCTTGGATTAAGAGTTAACGATTATATTATATAAAAAGTGGACTTACTGCCCTTAAAGTTAGGTTGACAAATATGGAAAAAGCATGCTTTTTAAAAAACATTTTCATTTCGTAATATTCTATTACCGAATTACCAATATTTAGAGGGCTTATATTTAGAAGATAAACTTTAAGACCCTTTACCACAATTATACGATAAGTTCATATAATAAATGGAACTAGTTTTCTGCTTTTTTCGTTTAAAAATATGCATAAGGCATGCTTTTATACAAATTATTATTGTATTTTGAAGACCAGGCTACAAATGCTTAAATGGTTTGGAGGATTAACTCACTAGAGTCTAGATTGTAGAGCTTTGAGAATGATTAAAACATACTTATGATTATACTTTCATTTTTTGAATTATATGAAAAAAGCATGCTTTTTTTAAAAACCATTCATTTATAATACTCTTTGGAACGAGTCACCAATATTTAATTAGGAGACTTATCCCTAGAATCTAGATCTGGAGAAGAAACCCTACACGGCTGTATTATTCGGAATATTAACTTACTTTTCTGTTTAAATTTCAGTGAAAAATATGAAAAAAGCATGCTTTTTGTAAGCTTTTTATAATATTTGGTAAACCAAGCTACCAATATTTGTGCCGTATCATTTACCCATTTATCCGTATTATAATCAATAAGAAAATAAATCCCCAAAAGCAATATAAAACGAATCAATATTTTTTAAACAAAGAACTTAAAAGCATTCGATTTTCGCATTTATTTGCTATTTTAAGAAGATTTTTTTTTGCATACTGGCTTATTTGTATTCTTCCCACTCATTTTGCACAACCAGCAGATCTCATTATTTCGATCTCATTTATTATGTTTTTTATTGATTGTTCTGAAGGAGGGTAGCACCTCCTCCAGAATTCCGAGAAGTAAGAAATCCAATAACTCTTTTTTCCTTTTTTTTCTTTTTATACTTTTTAGGTTTCTACCCACAGAGTTTCTGCCCCACACAGAATACCCCTCGAGCTCCTTGGGTGCCTGGATTTTGGAATAGAATCCCGCCACCTGTCCGCCACAAAAGCGAAATGTTGAACGTTAATTAAATGTCAACAGATCTGGCCAGAGCAGAGGTGGCCAAGCGGTGGCCAATGGGCGACAGGGGGACTGGGGCACATCCCGGGCTCCGAGGATCCAGTATCCAAATGAATTGGAATCGGAATTGAAATCGGAATCAAGAGACATCCAACTGACAGACAGGCCATTCGAAATTGTGCAAAATACTCGTACTGTGGTGGCATGACTGTCGAAATAAATCATAAGAAACCCGAAAGCCAGAAACAATAAGAAGCCGCTCCATAAGTGGGGCTACAAGGCGAAGACGGAGTATTAATAACAATCATCTCAACAGAAATCTCTAAAAAAACAAAAAAATATAAAAAAGGAAAAATGGTTAATGCCGTGATGGATGCCATAGCGGTAAGTTCGTTTAATTTAATTTGCAATATTATCCCAAATAATAATTTGATATTCTCTCAGTTTTTTTTATTTTTGTTGTATGATTCCTAAATTGAAATTGCCGACCGACAAATCCTCTGCTTAGCCCCTCTGTAGTCCCATTTATATCCCACATCCATATGTATCTGTATCTGTATCCCCATAACCCCTTCCCAGAGCCAATTGAAGTTTTTTGTTTGTACTTCAAACAAGATACTTCTACTCTCTGCGGTTGAGTTTCATTTTTATTTTTTGGATGCTCTTTCCAAGGGGGTTTTAGTTTTTATATAAAATCGGGTATAATATTTGAGGTTTATTTTCTGTTGATTTTTTTATTAAAGTCAAAGTCCGATATCTGACAAGTTTTTAAAGATTTTCTTCCTTATAGAGGCCTTTACAAAGTTATAATTCTATTATTTTGATGTTTATTTTGAATCGGGTTTATTTTTAAAGTCCCTTAAGACCTGTCCGCGTGTCCTTATGTCCGTTTATCTTATTTTGAAGGGCTTTAATGTTATCTGAAGAGTCTTAAGATTTTCTTTCTTATAAAGGATATATTGAAGTACAAAGTAGTCCCTACAAAAAACCTTAAAGTATATTCTTGATCAGGTTTGTGTGTAAAGTCTACATAACCCTGTCCGCGTGTCCGTTACTTTCTTTAGGGCGGGATTTCAAGAATTATATCCTTTTAGGGATAAGAACCATACCCTTAGGAGAATCTTTTAAGGGCCTACTTCCATGTCTGTCTAGCTTGGAAAGAGCATCCAAGGGTCTGGTTATCCCCCTGAAGTTAGTCTTCCTTTCTTGTTTTTTTTGCAGATTTTTTTTTGTTCAGCAAGCAGCTTGCTTTGCCCACATTTTCAATTTGAATTTGTTTGCTGTGGCAATTGCTCAATTGGCTGGCTTGTCTATGTCTTTGTCTCCAGTCTCCAGTCTCCGGTCTACGGTCGCCGGTCCCTGGGTCGCTAGGTTCTTTCGCATTTTGTTTATTTTAGTGTATTTGTATGGGAGTGTGGCATATTACATGCTAATCCATATGTTTAAGTTGATTTCTCGTTTGGTTTCTGTCTGCCGACTGCTGACTGTTGCAAATTGAGGAGGGAAACGGGGCGTATACGCGATGCAGAGTCATTCGATGCCAGATTTGGGAACAAAACACGGGTGGGGCTGGAGTTGAGATTAGATAGCTGGAGTGCTAATGCAGTTGGTTTTAATCTTTCCTTTTTTAAATATATTTTATTGAAAAATGAGTATTTGCAAAACTTCTTGTCCAAAACTGGTAAATTATTAAAGAAAAGCTACCAGCATCTTTTCATAATACTTTGGCATTAAAATTGCCATTAATCTTTATGGTTACGAAACGCACCTTCTGCGGCACTATTGCCCGGCTATTTAAGTTGCAACTTTTGGTCATTTTTTCGTTTGGTTCACATCACCAATTCATTCTACGAACAAAAACTCACAAAATATTTTCCACTTCACTTTTCCACCTTTTTTTTGTTTTGCGGCCACCATTTGCATACAACTTGCCAAAAAATTTCTGCGGGCTTTCAGGCCAACAAAATAATAGAAAAATAAACAACAAAACTAAAAAAAAACCATAGAAATATTTATAAATATCAAAACACAACAAAAAATATAATGGTGGGGGTACCAAGAAAAAAAACAGAAGTGGAGATCAAATTAGCACAGAGCGTGGGAGCCGGTTTCAGTTTTTGTTATTTTCTATTTTATTTTTTTTGGCACTTGGAACATGGTTAACCATGTTGCACATGGGGCACGTTGCATGGAGTGAGAGAGATGGGGAGTCTAGACTGTCTAGAGAAACCCGTTATTAGTGCATTAGCCCCACGGACAGTGGCGGTTAATTATTGGAGATCAACGCTGCCAAGGCCTCGGAGTTGGGCCCCAAAAGTGCGCCGGAAGTTAAGACCAGTTGGTCAGGTACAGGTACTGTCTGGTTCCATATCCATATCCGATCCAAACCACAATCCGAAACTGTCTAAGATCAGGCCGAAAGCAAAGCTGAGGTTTTTATAACGAAAGTTCTGCAATAACCTCTTTTAAGAAACACTATGCTTAAATAAATGGCTTAAGGCCTAAGAAATTTATATGTAAATATATATAAAATCTATATAAAATTATATGTAATAATTTATAAAAGAATAGACTGTTTTTCTCTCAGTGTTAAACATGATTTGGCACAAAAACGAAGCCACAAACGTGACGGGAGATCGATTCCCATGGCCAGTGACACAGGCGGGCACTTGAGACATCCGTTCATTAACCCAGAATCTAGACAGTTTTAAATGCAGTTTCACCCAAGAACTTAATTACTAATCAATACAAACGACTGGATCGTTTTTCACAAAAAAAAAAACAGAAACCTATTAGTTTTTTATGATTTTTTCAAGTACAAAGTACTAGTTTTATGGTTAAAGACTTTTAAAGTCTTTTCTGAACGTTTTTTTTTTTAAGAAATACATTTTTCTTGGTTAAGATATGTTTACATAAAACCTTTAACAATTTTTTTTGAATAATCCTTAATGATTGGATTGATTTTTGTGGATTTTGATTTGAAATTGTTATAATTTTTTGTTATTTCATTGCAGCTGCTCAGTTCGCTGGCCAGTGATTTGGATATTATGTTGAATGATCTGCGATCGACGCCAAGTCATGTTGCAACAACAACAACAGCATCAGCAACAACAACAACAACAACAACAGTAACAGCAACAACACAAGCCACACTAACAACAGGTCAACAGCAACATCAAAAGCAATTCCAAACCAGGCAATTGCAGGCCCATCATTGGCAAAATATTACCAACAATAATAATAATAACATTCATAAAAATAATAATCATAATAATAACAATAATTATAATAATAATAATAAGCTGGCAGCACACACCCCCAGCTTGATTGATTTAAAAACTAAATCAGCAGCAACATCGATCAGCAAAAATCATCAAAAATCATCAGCAACATGCCAGCCATTGCAGCAACGACGTCGTGTGGCGCCCAGCCCACTGCCACGCCCACCGCGCCGCACTCGCCCCTTGCCTGTGAGGAAGGGAGAGGCGGGGGGGCTGGGAGGGGCCGAGGAGGAAGAGGATGCCGACACGGATGCCAGTGATTTGGCCAATATGACGTCACCGTTGTCCGCCAGTGCAGCTGCCACGCGTATCAACGGCCTTTCGCCGGAAGTTAAGAAGGTCCAGCGACTGCCCCTTTGGACCGCTCGCAATGGTGGTGGCAGTGGGGGCGTCAACAGTGGCAGCCACGCCCACTCACACCTTCCGAACGGATTAAGGCAGCCGACACGTTTACTTAGCCATCGATTTCATCAAGGTTACAGAAAAGGGTAAGTTTTTTAAATTGGTATTATTTTTTTTTAGTAATTTTTGGTATATACTAAAGGCTACATATGTATTTTTTAAAGATTACCCTTTAAACTTTAGAGCTTTATAATATTTTTTCCCTTAAAAATATACTTAATTTTAATGAAAGAGTACAAAAAACAAACAAAACTATGTTTTAACTTGTCTTTTTCAAACTAATCTTTTATTTATTGTTTGAAAAGTATATTTTATAGTTATTTAAGACCATAAATATTTAAAAAATTAATTCAAAATAGTATTTCTCTATTCCTAAATCTTAACAAAAGCTTAAAACCCCATTAATAAAAAACGAACATAAAAAAAACATAAAAAAGAAAACGAAACCATGAAATTTGAAACCTATGATTAGATGGCCCAGTTATGACCTTTCTTTTGTTGGCCCCGTTTTTGACCATGGCTTTTGATGAGTCAGCTCTATGGTCGGCATGGGTTAACCCGACCTGGCTTAACCCATTAGGTGCCACTCTTGCTGGTGGCTGGCATCGAAGCATGCCGCAAATTCGCATGAAATGCTCGACGAAGCATGAAACCTTCACAGGCCATTTCCAGCAGCCGGTGCTAATAGAGAACTAACAATGCTAAACTAACCCTTTCCAAACCCCCTGGTCTGTACCCCCTGGTCTGGTCATTTTTGGTGGCTATTCCGGGAATTTGAGATCTCTTCCTTATGGCCGAGAAAGAAAAATACGAGAACTTGCCTGCCATTCGAGATAAATATTGTTTTGACACAAAAGTATTTGAAATTGAAATGATTTATGAGTTTCTTTTTCAGGGTTTTATTAATTTTGCAAAAAAATGGAAAGATTTATTAAACAACTATGCTAAATAATAAAGAAATAAATGTTTTTTTACTTTATGCAAGTTAGGTAAGCTTTATGAGAAGCGTGGAGAAGGGGGCTGTTACTTAACACGACTTACTGAAAACTTACTGAAAATTCCTCTATATTACTCTCTGGTCTTAAATTTTTAATAATAAATACATATATCACTTAAATCATAAATCAAAACACCTTAACTTATTATTTACTGAATATATTAAGTTAATCGTTGCACTTGGCGACACTTTGACGAGGGTTCTTACCATTCCCAGCATCTCAACCTTAACCTTTTCATTAATCCACATTTTCCTAAGAAAAGGCCAAAATGGCAACTGGCGTTGACAGTTGAGACTTCTATTCTGGCCAAAAAGCCAACTAACCAGGCCCAAACTACCCCCTACATATATGTATGTATATTTTTGTAATCCATGTTAGAGCAATATGTTTAGCATATAAATTATGACTCTGAAAGTCCGAGACTTTTGTGGCTCACAACCCACTCACAAAAACCCCCAAAAAATCTTTAGTAGGCGTTAGACAAGAATTCCACCAAAAAATAAATTCTGGAGGGGGGGGCCTGTAAATGAAGTGTTATATTTTATGTGGCAATCGGCAATAATGTTGGCGTTGACAAAAACCAAAGACAAATACAATGCCCCATAAACTTGAGTAAATATGAATATGTCTGACTGCCAACATCACATCCCTATATCCTTGGATGTTTCTTCGTATTTTTTTTTTGGGTTTTCTGGGGAGAAGGGTGGAGTTTCGGTTGACAGGCGGAAAAAGCCACCCTGACTGGTAGACACAGTTCCCGCAAAGGGTTGTGTGTGACTTTTGTGTGTTTAGCTATTTATTAAATTTGTTTGCCGACACACAATCGAGTCCAGAGACCAGGACCGGGGTGGGAGGTAAGAGTTCAAAGGGGGGACACCCACAAGAACATGAGCTGCGTAACTAATTTGCCTAAAGTGCACGATGCCTCATCAACATCGGTTACAATACCAGTGGAACCAGCGGCGATGGTACAGTGGAACACTGCGACATGAAACCCATTTGAAATATAAGCAAGTATTCATAGTTTTCTTCATAAGTAGGGTGAGGGTTATACGATATGCGGTACTTGTCAGAGAAGAACAAGAATTCTTCTAAAGAAAATATAGTTTACTTACCTAATAAATTATTGAGTATTAAGTAAGAATATACTTCTAACTCTAGTTAGACCCATAAATCTTCCTTAAAATATAAAACATTTTTAAAACCACTGTCGCTTTGTTGAGGAACCGCAAAAACTTTTGGCGCTTGGCTCCCCCCAAGTGCTTTGCGGTCCTGAAAACCACCACATCCTTTTGGACTTTGTATCCCGAAAATTGATGATGTCTAGGACCCGGCTATCTCTCGTCCTTTATCATTGCGGCTAAGGCTATCATCATCATGATGATGGGCTCGATGATTGTCTAAAAGTTTGTCCCATTCGTTCGAATGGTTTTAAGTTTTGTTACACGAAGGAGACTTTTTTGTAGACAACTTCAAATGCGACAGGTGTTTGCTTTATTAACTAACAAAATACAGGGAGAGACTCATAGCAACATATACACATACCTCAGTGTCGGATAGAAACTCGAGCCAGACAGCCGCCATAAAGAAAATGTTCTAATACGTCGGCTGACATGTAAACAGATTAGCATAATTAATTTATTTGCCTTCTGCCTCCTGTTCTTGTCAACTTCTAATCCACAAAATGCTCTACGACTTAGCGGGGGTATTCTTCCATTGTCTTCAATGTCTTGTCTTACAAGCTTTTCTACAATTGAGAAGATATTATTATTCATAAAATACTTTAATTTTATGATGAGTTTGGTATAATTAATATTGAGTGTGACCTTGCTTAAAGAAAATAAATTACCAAAAGAAAATGTGACCTTGTTTATGTAAAGTAATTACTTACAAGAATTGGCTTTAGTTGATTTCAGTTTCATATTAAATGTAAGTTGAAGGAAGCAATATCTAAAGTTTTGTTTGCTTAATAATATTACATAGTTCCACAGGTTAAGCTTAAAGTTATAAAAAAAAGTGTGACCTTGCTTTTAAAAAGAAAATTTCCAACAAAAAAGAGGTGACCATCTTTCTATAAAATAAAGAAACACAAGTCCTTTTAAAGCTTTGGCTTTATTCCATAAAATTTCTTTGCTTAATACATTATTCTGATCCAAGAGATTTTATGTTATTAAAAACAGTGTGACCTTGCTTATAAAAAATAAATATTTAAACCAAATTATAAAAGCTACAATTGTTAGAGTATTTCATTGTCTGTATTTGTTGTCTTGAATCCTAATTTGTGGTTTCTGTCAAAGGTATCCAATTAACTTGGTTATAAGCTGTTTAAATTAGTTAAAGTCTAAGTGCTGGTAAGGTAACTTATAACCTTTCTTTTGGAGTTTAGTATCTTATAATGACTATGCCCTTTCTTAAGTTTCTTTTGTCATCTTCTAGCAAATGGATACTGGGATATGATTGTTCATAATCCCTTTTTTTTAGCAAAACTCTCTCCATAAAATGGCAATCAATGATATTGATTTTGTATTGTGCTCGTATCAATCATATTTAGCATAAAAATGTCAGTCTATCATTTTGCCAGGTAGTGAGTGATTGAATGAATAACTGAGTAAAGTTGTGATTGAATGAGTGATTGAGTGAGTGACTAAGTGCTGTGGCCAAAAGCCGTGAAGTCGAGACTTCAATGCCAACAGGTTTTTGCTTTTCTGGACGTCAATTCAAATCTCAAATTTCGCAATTATACAATAATACCCTCTCTCTCGTTGGTCGTATCTCTGTCTCTATTTTCTTACCAAGCCACCCTGTTATTTGGGCCAAGTTAGCAGAGACTATTCAACTCATTTATTCATAGCGCATATTTTTTGGTTGAAAGTCTTAATTTCTGGCTAAATTTCTGTCTAAATTTCCCCAGACAATAAATAAAGGTCTTAAGAATACTAAAAAAAATATATACACAAGGATCTGAGAAGTAACAACTTCTATGTGACGTAAATTGCATATTAAATTTTACATTTTTCATATTTATGCAGCCGTCGAGGCACTCGTAAAGTGAAAGTGACCGAAAGAAGGGGGACTCCTGTGGGGGCAGCAGCAAGGACAAACAACATTTCAATTTACGAAAATATTCATTATGCTCAAGTGTAAAGCAAGGAAGCGTCCAAAACGGAAGCGGAAACGTGCCAAAAGCATGGAGAAGGTAACCACCCAGCTCCATTTTAAGACCACTTGCCACCCCACCATTTTCCACCCACTTTCTCCAACTCAGCAGTCACCCATTGTCGTTGGCTTGTGGAAAGTTTTATAAAGTTATGAAAAGTCATTCAAGTGCAGGACTAACCACCTTCCTTGCCTCCTTGCTCCCTCGCCCCTCAAAGGACTTGGCGACTTTTGAGCACTTTGTGCTCATTTTGCACTGAAAAATAAAGGAGCCCCCAAACGGGGGGTAATAGCTGGGGGATGGAGCAGGAATGGTAGTAACCGCCTGCCAAACAATAAAGCCGTCAAGAACGTGCAACGTCCACAAGGACATTGTCGGTCTTGGTCTTTGGTCCACCTGCTCCTTGTTCTTGCTCCTTTCAGTTTAGTTTTCTGCCACGACAGCGTCAACATCTTCAACTAAGCTGCAGTGACAAGTTGCCACTAAGAGAATGCACTGAAAAAATTGGGCACTAATTAAAAAAATATATGAGAAGAATTCTATAGAGTTTTAAGAACATGTTTTTATTTCTTTTTTTTTAAATATTTTGTTTGGGAAGCTTATTTTTAAGTCAGTATTTAATTTTAAAGCTCAATCCAGTATTATGAACCTATCTACCTGTCTAGCTTTAGGGTATTTTATGGTATTATATGGTTATATGGTATTATATATCAGAAATAGAAACGGGCACATTTAAGGAGGCGTAACAAGAAAGTAAATGTCATAATTCAAATATCTTTAGCTTTATTATTGCCTTTACTTTACAATTTTCTTATTTGAATTAAAATTCTTTAAATTACTTATTTTTCATCCATTTTTTCTCAGTGTAATGTAAGCTTCATGTCTTCATAAAAATTGACGTATTTTCGAGACACTCTAAACCGTTTGGCTC